AAGATCCTGTCTGTCACAGTTACTCAACCACTATGACAAAATCACAGAAGCCCTAGAAGAAAAGCAAAATGCAGATGTTGTATACACAGACTTTGCAAAGGCGTTCGACAAATGTGACCATGGGGTGATAGCTCACAAAATGAAGTCAATGGGAATAACTGGAAAAGTAGGACGCTGGATACTCAATTTCCTGTCGAACAGAACACAAAGAGTAACAGTCAATCAGATAAAATCGAGTCCAAGCGATGTTAAAAGCTCTGTACCTCAAGGTACAGTCCTTGCACCGCTACTGTTCCTTATTCTCATATCTGATATAGACAAAAATACACGCCACAGCTTCGTGTCGTCCTTTGCAGATGACACAAAAATCAGCATGAAAATTACCTCTGCTGAAGACATTGAAAAACTACAAGCAGATGTCAACAAAGTTTTTGATTGGGCAGCAGAAAATAACATGATGTTTAACAGTGATAAATTTCAGGTACTCAGGTACGGCAAAAATGAGGATCTGAAACATAATACAGGGTACAAAACACAATCGAATATTCCCATAGTAGAAAAACAGCATGTCAAGGATTTGGGAATAATAATGTCCGACGATCTAACGTTTAGGGAGCATAACCAAGCAAATATCGCGTCAGCCAGAAAAATGATCGGATGGATTACGAGAACTTTCAAATCCAGGGATCCCATCACAATGGTTGTACTCTTCAAGTCACTTGTGCTGTCCCGTCTCGAGTACTGCTCAGTACTCACTTCCCCCTTCAGAGCAGGAGAGATTGCTGAAATAGAGGGAATACAGAGAACATATACGGCACGCATAGACGAGATAAAACACCTAAATTATTGGGATCGTCTCAAAGCTCTCCAAATGTACTCTATAGAAAGGAGACGAGAGAGATACCAAATAATATACACATGGAAAATACTGGAGGGTCAGGTCCCAAATCTACACAGTAAAATAACAACGTACTGGAGTGAACGATATGGAAGAAAATGCAAGATTGAACCAGTGAAGAGCAGAGGTGCCATAGGCACAATCAGAGAGCACTGTATAAACATCAGGGGTCCGCGGTTGTTCAACGTCCTCCCAGCGAGCATAAGAAATATTGCCGGAACAACCATGGACATCTTCAAGAGAAAACTGGACGGTTTTCTAAGAGAAGTTCCGGATCAGCCGGGCTGTGGTGGGTACGTGGCCCTGCGGGCCGCTCCAAGCAACAGCCTGGTGGACCAAACTCTCACAAGTCGAGCCTGGCCTCGGGCCGGGCTTGGGGAGTAGAAGAACTCCCAGAACCCCATCAACCAGGTATCAACCAACCAGGTACCCCATACTCACCCTGTGAGCGGTAGCGCAAAAAGCATTAGAGGGTTAAAAACACAAAAGGTCTTTATCAGACCTCATCTTAGATCATTACATAAACATTTTCATCTATCCTTCACACCTTATAGTTACATGTCAGCTAGTTACAGAGAAAGTTATATTTCAAGAGCTATATATTTACAGTAAGCCATTCTACATGAATGGTAGGTCTTATCGCTAATACATAATTGTTTGAGCAATGGAGATATTACAGAGTCATTGGGGAGCTGCTGTTTATTATTAGTACTTGTTTCTTAATCTCATATGTCGTTTATCTACTGGAAGCGAAATATGGATACAGTGAAAGGATTTCAGGTATTTTATCTTTGGTAATAAGACAGAGGTCTATATCATACAGAGTGAGCTTAGATTTATCTCTAAATAGCTCAATTTTACTACAAACCAAGATATAGTGTTCGAGTGTGTGTCCCTGTCTTTGTCCACACACTTTACACTTTATTTATTAATGAACATAAGAACATAAGAACATAAGAACATAAGAACAAAGGTAACTGCAGAAGGCCTATTGGCCCATACGAGGCAGCTCCTATTCTATAACCACCCAATCCCACTCATATACTTGTCCAACCCGTGCTTGAAACAATCGAGGGACCCCACCTCCACAATGTTACGCGGCAATTGGTTCCACAAATCAACAACCCTGTTACTGAACCAGTATTTACCCAAGTCTTTCCTAAATCTAAACTTATCCAATTTATATCCATTGTTTCGTGTTCTGTCCTGTGTTGATACTTTTAATACCCTATTAATATCCCCCCGTATGCCCGAAACGCTTTGCGTAATAGTGGCTTTAGGCATTGTATGTACTAGCTCTACCTATAAGTCAACCAATCTTTGTAAAAATTTATTGTATGTATGTACCTTACCTAAATAAAATATTATTATTATTATATTTCATCTAGATCCCTATACAAGCCGAACTGCCAGAGATACTTGTAGCCAAGTCTTATACGAGCTGTGACAACATCTGTTAGTCTACTGACTGTTACTTGCCCCATACACATGTTTTACTTCACACATTTCATTGTGATAAACAATGGACCTGCTAGTTCCAGTTTGCACTGTTCTACTTTCTTCAAATCCATCCAAGAGTTCTCGTCTAATGACACTTTTAAGGAACGTATTTGATAACTCAAGATTCCGTTCAATACTGTCTTTATTTACTGCAGCCTTAGCAAGGGCGTTAACTTTGTCATGTTCCTGCAGGCCAATGTGAGAAGGTATCCACAACATTTTTATATTTACCCTCTTGCTAAGTATTCTTATATATCTACGTCTAGCTTCCAAGACAAGCACGTTATTACTTGATTGCAAACTTGATTGCAAAAGATTGTTATTACTTGATTGTTTATTGCTCGTAGTGAGGAAAGGGAGTCAGAAATAATTACGCTATCTACTTCAGTGTTGTCAATAATTTCCAGTGCTACCGGTATTGCTACCAACTCAGCTTGCATTGTGGATGCCCAGTTACTAATTCTTACATTCCTTTGAATTGTGCTGCCATCGGGCTGATGAGCAATAACAGCGCTTCCTGCCCTCCCTGTCCTTCCCATCACAAATCCTTGCCCCTGACCCCTTGCTATATAGTCCTAATGGCTTGGCACTTTCCCCTGATAAGTCCCTCCCTTACCCCCCACTTCACCCAGTCTTCCTCCTTACACCCCCCCACTTCACCCAGTCTTCCTCCTTACACCCCCACTTCACCCAGTCTTCCTCCTTACCCTCCCACTTCACCTAGTCTTCCTCCTTACCCTCCCACTTCACCAAGTCTTCCTCCTTACCCCCCACTTCACCCAGTCTTCCTCCTTACACCCCCACTTCACCCAGTCTTCCTCCTTACCCTCCCACTTCACCTAGTCTTCCTCCTTACCCTCCCACTTCACCCAGTCTTCCTCCTTACCCCCCACTTCACCCAGTCTTCCGCCTTCCCCCCACTTCACCCAGTCTTCCTCCTTACAGCCCCCCCAACTTCACCCAGTCTTCCTCCTTACCCCCCCCCCCCACTTCACCCAGTCTTCCTCCTTACAGCCCCCCCAACTTCACCCAGTCTTCCTCCTTACCCCCCCACTTCACCCAGTCTTCCTCCTTACCCCCCCCCACTTCACCCAGTCTTCCTCCTTACCCCCCCCACTTCACCCAGTCTTCCTCCTTACCCCCCCCCCACTTCACCCAGTCTTCCTCCTTACCCCCCCTCACTTCACCCAGTCTTCCTCCGTACCCCCCCCCCACTTCACCCAGTCTTCCTCCTTACACCCCCCCACTTCACCCAGTCTTCCTCCTTATCCCCCCACTTCACCCAGTCTTCCTCCTTACACCCCCCACTTCACCCAGTCTTCCTCCTTATCCCCCCACTTCACCCACAGTCTTTCTCCTTACCCCCACTTCACCCAGTCTTCCTCCTTACCCCCCCACTTCACCCAGTCTTCCTCCTTACCCCCCCACTTCACCCAGTCTTCCTCCTTACCCCCCCACTTCACCCAGTCTTCCTCCTTACCCCCCCCCACTTCACCCAGTCTTCCTCCTTACACCCCCACTTCACCCAGTCTTCCTCCTTACACCCCCCCACTTCACCCAGTCTTCCTCCTTATCCCCCCCCACTTCACCCACAGTCTTTCTCCTTACCCCCCACTTCACCCAGTCTTCCTCCTTACCCCCCCCACTTCACCCAGTCTTCCTCCTTACCCCCCCACTACACCCAGTCTTCCTCCTTACCCCCCCACTTCACCCACAGTCTTCCTCCTTACCCCCCCACTTCACCCAGTCTTCCTCCTTACACCCCCCCACTTCACCCAGTCTTCCTCCTTACCCCCCCCCCACTTCACCCAGTCTTCCTCCTTACACCCCCCCACTTCACCCAGTCTTCCTCCTTACCCCCCCCCACTTCACCCACAGTCTTTCTCCTTACCCCCCACTTCACCCAGTCTTCCTCCTTACCCCCCCCCCCCACTTTTCACCCAGTCTTCCTCCTTACCCCCCACTTCACCCAGTCTTCCTCCTTACACCCCCCACTTCACCCAGTCTTCCTCCTTACCCCCCCATTTCAACCAGTCTTCCTCCTCTCCCCCATTTCAACCAGTCTTCCTCCTCTCCCCCCCATTTCAATCAGTCTTCCTCCTCTCCCCCCCCCCTATTTCAACCAGTTCCTCCTCTCCCCCCCCCATTTCAACCAGTCTTCCTCCTCCCCCCATTTCACTCTTCCCCCCCCTCTTACCCTCATCCCTTCCCCCACCCTTCTTCACACCATGAAGTCCCAGCAAACACAACCTAGCCACAGCAATTATTTTTTTACAATTGTTGCTTTGAAATAATGTTGTAACAACTTTGTTAAAAAAAAAAAAAAACGTTCTCGCAAATTCGTAAAGTCAATATTGACTTATTAACTACGTGCATAGGTGATATACTAAACATAATAGATACCCTTAAAAAGATTCATAGAAAACACCGACCTTACCTAACCTTGTTAGTATCTTAAGATAAGCATCTTATTGCTTCATAATTACAATTATTACCTAACCTATACCTATTATAGGTTAGGTAATAATTGTAATTACGAAGCAATAAGATGCTTGCTTATCTTAAGATACTAACAAGGTTAGGTAAGGTCAGTGTTTTCTATGAATCTTTTTAAGGATATCTATTATGTTAAGTATGTCACCTATGCACATATTTAATAAGTCAATATTGACTTATTAAATTTGCAAGAACGGGTTGCAAAAAACTATGGCTGCTATAAGTTGGGATATCATGATCAGTTGAAAATCTTTTGAGAAACTCCATGCAAAGTTCTATGATGGTTAGCCCCAAGCATCTGGCATACATTCTTGGACAACAGCATTCACTTATCTATACAGTATCTATAAAATAAAATGTGTGTTTGGCTGTCTGTTCAAGGTTGGAGGCCATAGGCTTATGGCTAGTCTCACTCAATTTTCACACATGGAGCATGTGAGGTAGGGAAGCTTAACAGGCTAGTCAGGGTCGATCCTAGTTAACTGCTTTAAGAAATATTAGCATTTACAGAGACTGGCCCTGGGATTTTCAAGGAGTAGAGTCTGAAGTATTGTTTGTGTTCACATAGTTGTTTAGCATTTTCAGTGCTTAGTAATATACCTTCTGAGAGAAAGGGGGTTGGAGAGGGTGGAAAGTGGAGTGGACTAGGAAAGTGAGATGGAGAAGAGACCTGTGTGTACAGCAGAAACCCCTTCTTGTATAGATATAGATTGAAGTGCCGCAGAGCCGAGTTTACAGTTGAAGTGCCACAGAGCCGAGTTTACGGTTGAAGTACCGCAGAGTCGAGTTTACAGTTGAAGTGCCACAGAGCCGAGTTTACGGTTGAAGTGCCGCAGAGCCGAGTTTACGGTTGAAGTGCCGCAGAGCCGAGTTTACGGTTGAAGTGCCGCAGAGCCGAGTTTACGGTTGAAGTGCCGCAGAGCCGAGTTTACGGTTGAAGTGCCGCAGAGCCGAGTTTACGGTTGAAGTGCCGCAGAGGCGAGTTTACGGTTGAAGTGCCGCAGAGGCGAGTTTACGGTTGAAGTGCCGCAGAGGCGAGTTTACGGTTGAAGTGCCGCAGAGGCGAGTTTACGGTTGAAGTGCCGCAGAGGCGAGTTTACGGTTGAAGTGCCGCAGAGGCGAGTTTACGGTTGAAGTGCCGCAGAGGCGAGTTTACGGTTGAAGTGCCGCAGAGGCGAGTTTACGGTTGAAGTGCCAAGGGTTGAAAGTTTACCTGCCTGGAGTCTTCTTCCATAAGTAGCAATATTCCAGCCTAATTTTGGCAATTAGTTAAAGGGATGTTACAGTGGAAACATTTAGTATAGCATTAATGTTATTTCATCCATGACACTGACTTTCCTGCTAGGCACTTGGCATTATTAAGAAATTATGCTAATGGAGATGACAAATCAAGAACTTTTTTGTTTTTCCTATATACAATTATCTTCACAAAAAACTTTGTAATATAAATTACTGTAGTAAGGTACTTTCAGAAAGCAGAATTAGTTTAGGCTAATTTTGGGGTAAATTAAATTATTAAAAAAATTGTACAGTAGCAAACGTTTTACAAAGTTACTGAATAAGTAAATGATTACTGTGTAACCTACATGTGTGTAATCCTCCAAACATTTCAAATTTGTGATGCAGTAATGCAATATATACACTTCAGTTCTTGTTTTGATCATTCCATAAATATAAATTTTAGTTTAACAAATGATTTCTTAATTGTTATTGTTAATTGCTGCTGCTGCTATAATGACCTAAATGAGTATTCTTTGCCTTACAGGTGTTTAAAGATGGGCAAGTGGATGGTTCCCCTTGTGACGTCTTCAGTGAGATTGGTGTTGATCCTCTCGCTTTTGCTGTTCAATGTGGCAGGGCTCTGGCAAACTACAACTCGACCCAAGTACACGAAAGGTAAGAGGTGTTACCTTTGAGGAAGTGAGTTTGGTTTACTAGTTCATTGCAATGTAAAAGGAGGTAAAAGGAGTTGAAGACATCAAAATTTGAGGGTAATATGGCCTTGAATGTGTACTGCCATATTACCCAAGTTTTCCAAACAATGGGATACAATGTTAGATTAAAATTACTAAGTGAATGTTGTCTCGTCCTTTTTATTAGTATACAGTATTTCTTGTTTTTGAAATGTTAAATAGCATGCAAAAAATAAATACTGTAATAAAAATCACTAATCAATTTACTGTTTTTTTTCCAGGACTGCGAGCATATGAACGAATCTTCCTCAACACAGTAATATGCCTAAATATGATTTATTTAGTCATCATTTGGGGTCCCTTCACTCTCTCAGCTTTCAGACATGATTTTGTGGACTTGCATCATGATGCAGCTGTAATTAATGACATGCAGCGCAGTGCACTAGTAATAGGGGAAAATGTACCAGAGTTTGCAGTTCAATATATTGACATGGATAAGGGTGAGGTAGTTACAGAGAAGATTCAAATACACCTTAGATTTGCCAGAGCAATAGAAGAGAGAGAAGGAAGTTTTAATCTTTTGACCAGCTCAGATGACACAAACCTCACAGATGCTGTAGGCAATTATTCCTCTCAGCCCTTCAAAGAAAGCATGTCACAATTGACCACTGAAGAAAATTCACCGGGCAGCTGGAATACAGATGTGCAGGACCTAGAGACGTCTTCATTTGCTTATAGCCTTGCTCTTACTGCCATTTTCAGGTTATTACTTGCACGCAAGGTAAGCATTTTGCCATTTTAATTTACTAAAATTAGTATAAACAAGGCATTTTCATATTTGTTGTAATTCTTTATACTTTTTATAAAGATCTTTATCCTTTTTACCAGGAAAGAATGTCACTGTCTATAGCATGTCTAGCCAACAAATTATTTCATAAATCACTTGGTTATCCATTTGTGTCAAATACAGTTCTGTTATAATATATTACCATCTCTTACAGAGTGCATTACGTCCTAGTCACCCAATTTACATTGCCATGGCAACTTTTCTACTAGTGGTGATACCTGCTTTCACTACTGGACTTATCAGGTTCATTGGAAACTCGGTGCCTCATTTAGCACCACACAAGCCTGAAATGACCAGTGCAGGCTTAACTATACGTAAGGATTCAAATTTAATTTTTTAGCAAACATTCGAATAGTGAAAAATCTGTTATAATGCTCTCCTAAAATTTAATGTTAGCTTATAAAATTATAATTTGTATAAAACTAAATGCTTGCTTCTCTTAATTAGGCAATATTATCTGCGACGTCCACATAACAGAGGCATATGTGTTGAGCCTCTTTCTGGAGTGGGCAGCAGTATTCACTATAGCCATTGTTGTGGTGGCTCTAAGCTCTACACTCAAGCCATCAAAGACTGACAGCAAAGACTTCTACGAGAAGGGGAGCTATACACTCAAGCCATCAAAGATTGACAGCTGTGTGACTGACAGCAAAGACTACGAGAAGGGGAGCTCTACACTCAAGCCATCAAAGACTGACAGCAAAGACTTCTACGAGAAGGGTATCAGTAAGTCAGCTTCCTTACATTAACATTTTTAATTTGAGAGTAAATTTGTCTTTTCTATTTAGAGGTTGATAAATATAAAGCATTTAATCATTATTCTTTGGTCACAGAAATGTTCTTTGGCAATGGCAAAGTGAAAGGTTGTAGTGCTTGGAGGGAGGGAATTATCAGGGAAATGCACTATGCCATTACGTCTACTGTATAGCACTTGGTAGGGGTCAGGATAAGGATTTGGGATGGGACGGGGGAAAGGAATGGTGCCCAACCACTTGGACGGTCGGGGACTGAAAGCCAACCTCCATGAAGCAAAACCAACTCTATTCCGTCCTGCCCAAGTGGTTGGAGGGATAGGAGCACAAGGAGCTGGGGAACCAGTGACTATATAAGAAAAGTGGACATCACTGTACCAATTAGGAAGGCTAATTTTGAGTTAAATATTAATTGTTAATACTATACGCCTTTTGAGAAAAACAATTGGAGCATGAGGTGACTCAAAACAGCAATCAAGGTACTGTACTCCCAGCTGCATACCTTACCTGTGTAGCACAACATTGTAAAAGGTAAATAATCCCAGGTACAAGCTGGGATTCCACTGAATCCTGAGGGAATCTGGAGGCTTTTACTGAAGCCAGTCCAAGTTTTACACATGACTTCCCCATGCACTCTGGTGTACATAAAATGGTTCATCAACTGAACTACTTTATACTTTTAACAGCTTCAGATGCACAAAGAAATCACATAATATCAATGAGAAAATCAATCATCATTCATATCCTGGTTTCGTATTCTGGCCGAGGAGGATTGACCAGATGTCAGTCCTTAACTGTAGCCTCTGTTCACCCATCAATGAATGGGTACCTGGTTGTTAAAGGATTTAGGGGGTCGTATTCCTTGGAAAATTAGGATTAAGGACCTGCCTGAAATGTTATGCGTGCTAGTGGCTTTATAAGAATGTAAGGACTCTAGTATATACAGTATAAAAAAGTATATTTGTCTTGTCTGTGACCAAAGCTGAATTACAATGGACTCTACAACAACAAAAAGACAAAACTGAAGAATAAAATTAGATTTTATTGACTGCTTCTATAAATACACTGTATCCTGTTATTTTATGCAAAACTACAAATAACTATTCCCAGATCTCTTCCATTTAGATTTTTGCAATTTCAACATTGTCCATTTGATATCTACTAACTTATCATTTCCTAGGTCCAAAACTCAAATTTTTTTAGCTTTAAACTGTCTGCTAGTTTTTAGTTTATTTTAAATGCCTACCTATCTAGGTAGTCTTGTAGTAATTTAGTGTCTTCTGAATACAGTACTGTATACAGTATTTCCCACTATTTTTGTATCAGCAAATGTTGCTCTTCAATAATTTCTAAACTGTTCATATTTGGTAAATGAGAAGTCCCAGGACAGATTCCTGGGATACAGTTTCATCTTTCTCGATTTGTTATAACCCTGTTTTCTTTTAAAAAATCATTCCCTAATACAACTTACAATGACCTCCAGCTACTATAGAACCATGTGCATTTAACTTGCTGTGTCTTTCACGAGGCAGTGACAGACTTTGCTAAAGCCCAATATATACTGTGTGAACCTTTTATACTATAAACTGCTGGAAAGATTAACAATATTGGCCATTAGTAAACATTGGGAAAACAAATTGTTAAACAATTCACAAAGTATACAAATGGCTTAGCCATGATAGATTAAATCAATTGGCAATAGTTTGACACAAGAGACCTATCTAATTTCTTAAAAACTGGCAACATTTTTGCAGCCCTCTGTCAATGTGGGAAGTACAGTACCACTATGAACTTTATTTCTTTTAGTAGTTTTGGGTATTATTCCGAGCACACCCTTGTAAACCACAAATAGATAAAAGCCGATGAATATATGCATATTCTTGCATGCATGCACAAATTACCAATGTACCATACGTAAAGCACCCTCCCCTTCCATACAGACTGCAATAGTGTGGATATGTTGGCTTGCGACTTCGTGCTGATACTGGGTACGTGTTGGGCGTGGCCTGTGAAACCTCTTCTCGCACTCATCCTCTACTGCCAGTATGGACAGGTAAGCCAGTTTTTTTTTTACCCTTATAATGCTAGTCCATAAACTGTTTTGGTATGTACAATTAACATGTAGAATTCCAGGTTTTATAACATGTACATACAGTATTTCAGTTTGCACTAAACTGACATTGTACAGTATTTTTAAGGCATGCATTATATTTATGTTGAAATATCAAAGGTCCCACAAATTGGATTAATTGTTTTAAATTGGCAGTAGTAAATAACATAACTGTCGTCATTTGCCAAATGTGTATACTGTACTGGTAAGCATGTTTAAATTCTATAAACAAAAACCTATCATTAGCATACATATCTGAAAAACAAGTTAATGGCAAGACAATGAGCAAAATATATTTTATTGCCATGGGTTATGAGTGCAAAGTTTAAAGGTGGCTGCCACATTGCATTGATGTAATTTTTTTTTGGGGGGGGGGATATATACAAGAGTTGTTACATTCTTGTACAGCCACTAGCTGTACATGAACAGTCTTGTACAGCCACTAGGTGTACATGAACATGTACAACTCATGAACATGTACAGCCACTAGCTGTACATTCTTGTACAGCCACTAGCTGCTGCCCGAAACTCATTGCGTTTCGGGCAGGTCCCTGGAATACGATCTCCGCCGCGAAGAATCGGTTTTACAACCAAGTACCCATTTTGCTGTTGAGTTAAACAGAGGCTACAGTTAAGGATTTGCGCCCAGTAAACCCTCCCCGTCCAGGATACAAACCTATGACAACCCAACCTTTATGTTCCCAATTTGAACATCTTTACCATTGTGATCATTGCTGTTTTCTTATATGTGCTGCCAATCTGTTGTATGGTGTTTATAAATCTTGTTTATCTGTATCTTTTGCTACCCAGTCTCCCAATCTTTATGTACCCAATCTGAACATCTTTACCATTGTGATCATTGCTGTCTTATATGTGCTGTCAATCTGCTGTATGGTGTCTTTTAACCTTGTTTAAATTACTAATCAAGATGTCAATGTAATCAATCAGAGCTTTAATATAACAATGTGCTTTAATATACCTACTTATCTCTCTCATCTCATTTTTCTCTTGTAATGTATCTTTATCATTTATCAATTCTGATTGAAATTACCTACAGTACTTAAAATTATCTGCTAGATTAAGGACCTGCCCGAAACGCTGTGCGTACTAGTGGCTTTACAAGAATGTAAATACTGTACTATCCAATGTATTCTCACAAACCCAATGTACCTTCTTGTATATATATAAATAAATAAATAAATAAATAAAAATGACAAAGCGCTCGCGGAACGCCAGGCAAGTGTCTTACCACTACACCACGGAGACTGAATTGCTGTATATGAAGTCAAAGTATATCCCTCCTGGTAAGAGGGTTGTAGCAAGTACGGTATAAAACCTGGACAAAATAAGTGTATGGATCACCACTTGGCAAATGGAATTTAATGTGAACAAATGCCATGTTATAGAATGTGGAATAGAAAATAGACCACATACAACCTACAAATTATGTGAAAAGGCTTAACAAAATTCTTGTAAATAAGTTCAATAAGACATAATTTGGTTGTTGCGTGCATGTTATCCCTTTTATCCTTTTAACATGGATGAAAGGTTTTCCTGACTGGTAAATGAGGGCAGTAATCAGAGGCAATGTATCGGACTGGAGAAATGTCATGATTGAAGTACCACAGGGTTTAGTTCTTGCACCAGTAATGTTCATTGTCTACATAAACAAGCTAACAGAAGGAATACAGAATTATATAAATATATTTGCCAATGATGTGAAGATACTAGGGAAACTTAAGAAACTTAGATGATTGTCAAGCCCTTCAAGAAGACCTGGACAAAATAAGTGTATGGACCACCACTTGGCAAATGGAATTTAATGTGAACAAATGCCATGTTATGGAATGCGGAATAGAAAATAGACCACATACAACCTACAAATTATGTGAAAAGGCTTAACAAAATTCTTGTAAATAAATGAACTAAGGTTATCTTGAGATGATTTCGGGGCTTCCCCGCGGCCCAGTCCTCGACCAGGCCTCCACCCCCAGGAAGCAGCCCGTGACAGCTGACTAACACCCAGGTACCTATTTTACTGCTAGGTAACAGGGGCATAGGTTGAAAGAAACTCTGCCCATTGTTTCTCGCCGGCGCCCGGGATTGAACCCGGAACCACAGGATCACAAGTCCAGTGTGCTGTCCGCTTGGCCAACCGGCTCCCTTGGTTCTAGGGTGGTTCTAGATTGAAAACTATGACCTGAGAACCACATAATGAACATAGTGTGAGGAGCCTATGCTACGCTTTCCAATTTCAGCGTGGTAATCTCCCTCTCATTCTCCAAAGTTTCCTTTCGAGTGAGGCTTGATACCACTCTCTCTCTGCCCCTTTTAGACAATATGAGGGTGTGCCCCCAAGGTAGTGTTCTGAGCAGTACTCTCAATGGTCTTCTTTCCTCCCTTCCTTCAGGTGTCTTCTCCGCTCTCTATGTCGACGATCTTACCCTTTGCTGTCAGGGTGATGATTGGCCTCTCCTTCAACAGCGGCTTCAACTTGCGATTGATGCTGTGTCGTCTTGGGCCACCGATCATGGCTTCAAGTTCTCTACGTCTAAGACTTGTACTATGACTTTTACTCGGAAGCATGTCGTTCTTCGTCCCTCTTTGTCACTTTATGGTCATCCCCTTTTGTACGGGGATTCCGCTAAGCTTTTGAGGTTAATCTTTGACACTCGTTTGTCTTGGTCACCGCATATCTCTTACCTCTGAGCTGAATGCTCTAAGGCTCTTACTCTCCTTAAGGTTTTGTCCCATACTTCTTTGGGAGCAGACAGGCGCTCACTCCTCTCTTTACATCCTTTCTCGTCCTGTCTAAACTCTATTATGGATGCCCTGTTTACTCGTCTGCTTCTCCTTCCACTCTTCCCCGTCTTGATGCTTTGCACCATACTGGGTTGCGCCTCAGCTCTGGTGCCTTTTGTTTGACTCCCACCCTCAGCTTGTATGTTGACAATGGCTTCCTATCTCTCCAGGACCGCCGTGACCGCTACTGTCTTCGCTATTTTGCGCGGTCCTTATAACACCCTTCCTCTCGCCTCTGTCGTGCTTTGTCTTTTACCCCGCCTGTAGTTCCTGTTCCTCTTCGCCACCTCCTTCTTTCTGTCCGGCTATCTCACTTACAGGATTCTCTTTCAATTCGTATTTCTAATGTTTCTCCTCGTATTGTTCCTTCCTTGCTCCCGTGGAGTCCCCCTTTCAAAGTTTTGTACATCCTTGATCTGCATCACTAAAGCTTTTACCCCTCCTACGGTTCTGAAACGCCTTTTCCTTGAGCACTTTTTCTTGCACTCCCGTTCTGTTTCCATCTTCACCGATGGGTCTTAATTCTGTGAACGCTGTAGGCTACTCTGTTGTTTTTCCTGACCGCACTTATGTGTCGCCTCCCTTCGGAGACTAGCATCTTCACAGCGGAACTTTATGCTTTTCTCTATGCTCTCCATCTCTTGCTTTCTCGTTGTCAATCCTCCTTCGTGGCTGTCGTTGACTTGTATTGCCCTCATGGCTCTAGGGTCCTTTAATCCTGTCCATCCGGTGGTCGTTGAGATTGAACATTGGCTGTTTCTTATCTCTAGTAAATTTAAATCCGTGGAGTTTTGCAGAGTTCCCAGCCATATTGGTGTTTCTTTAAATGAGCGTGTGGATGCTGCCGCTAGAAAAGCTATCCGCTCTTGTCCCATCTCCCATAAAGGTATTCCTTATTCTGACTTATCCGGTTATTCATTCCTCCATCCTTGCCCATCGGCAGGGTTGTTGGTCTTCTGTAGTTGGTAACAAGATGCGTACTCTTAAGCGTAGCGTGTCACTGTGGCCTTCCTCGTGCAACCGTAACCAGCGATGGGAAACTGCTCTAGCAAGGTTGCGCATTGGCCATACTTGCTTAACTCAGTCACTTAATGGAGTGCTGCCCTGCTCCTTATTGTCCAAATTGCATTGTCCTTACAGTCGTGTATATCCTTGTTGAATGTCCTGACTTCCAATATGAGCATGTGGCTTATTTTCTGACCGTCCCTCATGGTCACTTGTTCCTCGATAGAATTCTTGGTGAATCGGATACTTTTTATATCGTTCGCCTTATGCGTTTGTTCTCGTATTGGCATCCTTAGTGATATGTAGCGCTCCTGAATATTTTGTGCATTTGATGGTGCTACATAGCCTTCCCGGTTTGGGGCCTTCTTTTGATAATTACTTACTTTCCAATTTCAGAATTGCTTTTAAATACATGTATGGTGAAATACTAAAGAAATACCAAAGCTGAAATATGCAGCAGTTTTACTTTCTCCATATCTTAAGAAGCACATTAACAAACTGAAAAAGGTGCAAAGCAATGCAACTAAATGTCTCCTGGAACTGAGAGAAAAGAGCTATGAGGAGAGGTTAGAGGCATTAAACACGCCGAAACAAAAAGATACAAGAAAGAGGTGATATAATCACTACGTACAAAATAGTAACAGGAATTGAGAAAATGTATGAAGAATCCTGAGACCTGGAACTTGCAAGAATAAAAGGTAATAAATTTAAGCTAACTAAACAAAGCTGCCAAAGAAATACAAGAAAGTTCACTTGTGCAAACAGTAGGACAGTAGGAACAAGTAAGAAAATGGTGGAGGCCAAAAGTCAGTTCTGTACCTGTATTTTTAAAGTGTTATATGACAGTGTGCTGGGAAGATGGGACACAACTAGTGTAGCTCTCATCCTGAAACTATACTTATTAATTACATTAATAATTACAGTGTACAGTAATTATATAGGTAATGTAACTGTAATAGGTAATTACACACACACAACCCTTCCCTCACTAACCAAAACTTTGTATCTTGAATTCAAATTAAAATGTTTATTCAGGTAAAAGTATATACATACAAGATGAGGTACAAACGTAATGTTGGATTTATAGAGAGAGTTAGTACATACAATGCCTAAAGCCACTACAGGTAATATGCACAGCATTTTGGGCAAGGTGTGGGAAAAAAAGAACACTTACACTAAAACTTAATACTAATTGAGATCAAAGTATAATTTTGAGTTGAAAAGAGGAAAAAAAAGAGGAAGGGGGGGGGGGAACATGGTGGAAATCAGCAGTTTTACAAGTTGGTCAACAAACAGTATTGTTTAAAAAATAGAAAGACGTGGATTGACATTTAGGGGGTAAGGTAGGTTACGGAGTTTATTAGGTTGTACAATACTTAGTTTTTCTCTTATACTGGTTGAGAGAGGTACAGCCTTTTGACATGATTGGGAAGGTCATTCCACATTCTGGGTCCCTTGATTTGTAGAGCATTTCTAGTTTAGTTAAGTTGCACTCTTGGAATATCAACTAGGTATTTGTTTCTGGTGTGATGCCGATGGGTTTTGTTACAACCTTTTAGGAAGCATTTAAGGTCAGGATTGGCATTACAGTTCAGGGTTTTAAATATATAAGAGTACACTTGAGAGGATGTGCAGTGACTTAATATCTAACATATTCAAAGATTTAAGTAAGATTTGAATGCAAATCTGTTGTCTATACTTAAGTTTGCAAGTCAATATCTGCATGCACTTGATTTTATCCCCCTTGCTGCTCATCTATAAATAGCCTTCAACACCGCCATGCACAAAAAATAAAAAAATTCAAACAATTTTTCATCTCATAAGTGTTCATTTGTGTTTCCTGACCACGGGAAATAAAAAAAAATTGTGGGTGATATATATATTGGACACAATAGGGCAAGGAAGTCTGGCAAAATTGAGGCAATGACAATAACCGTAGAGGCGGTCAGCTCCACCCGCGCTGTCAGGCGGGAGTTACCACAAAGATATTATTACCTTATTATTTCACTGTCTCTTATTGATTCAATTATTATGTTCATAAAACAATAAACAAATAGTTTTGTCATTATTATAGTACATACGTACTTTATATATATGAGTATCTGCATGTTTAGTTCACCATAACGAACCACTAATTTTGGATGGTGAGTTCAGACAATAACAAAGGTCGCCCTCAGTCTGCTGACGCTCCCTCCCTCCCTCACCAACATTTCACCTCCCTCCATACTCTTTGTGCTGTTATTACACTATATACACACACATTATATATGTAGCTACATGTTTTGTTCACTATAACTGTACAACTAAGCTGGTATGGTGTTCAAACATCATAGTGGCCACCCTACACAGCTACACAGCATGACATGTCAAACACCAGTCAGCAGATGATGCCACCTCCCTCTCCAAAATGGATCCTCCTAACATACTCCTTTTGCTGTTATTACACTATATACACACACGTTACATATAAGTACAGTATGTACATTCGTGTTTACCATAGCGAACCACTAAGCTGATATGGTGAGTGCATACAATAACAGGTTGCCACACAGAGTAAGCAGACGATGCCTCCCTCTCTCACCAAGCTTACTTCTCCCACCCTACTATGCACATCGTTAATTATCACCAATCTTACTATTATCAGAATCCTGGTCATTTTAATCGCTAAATAATAGCAGTTACATACAGGTACAGTATATATTTTGATATTTTTTGGGATGCTGTGGTCACAAGCTGAACAGCAGTGCTGTTAGCTCATGCTGTGTGCAACAGCCTTAGTTGCTCACTCAGTACTGAGGGCCTTCACACCTGGGAATGTTACCCATGATTTTTTTTTAAATGGCATCTGTTTACTAGAGCTCTGAGGAAGCTAATGTGAAGCCTGTGTAGCCGAGGGACATTTAAATCGTTCACGGCACCCTCAATTGTGTATACAGTATACGATGTGTGCAGTTCAGCGACATTTACTCAAATTGTATATATATATATATACAATTTGTGCAGTTCAACGGTTAAACGAATACTGAACTCTATGGACTTTTGGGTGGCACATTTCATATCCACCAACTTCATGAAGAGGATATAGCAGCCAAGCCAACACCATTTATATTGTTTCAGCCTTGACACGAGTAATTTTGGTCTAAATCTGCAACCATACAGTATTCTCTATAGTGTGGTGAATAAATAAATATTATACTGTAATACTAATAATAATTTTATTTACAAGAAGGTACAATGGGTTTGTGAGATTACATAAGATTGGTATTATTACATTACGTGGTACAATAACATGCATAGCATTTGGGCAAACAGTCTTGAAAACAAATGATGCCATTTTTCTGACTAATGTAACTACTGTACTTACATCTATAACACTTAGTTAATATGTTTGTCTCCAGTTTGTCCTAAGTGTTATATATGTCAGTAGTTACATTAGTCAGAAAAATGGCATCATTTGTTTCAAGACTGTTTGCCCAAATGCTATGCATGTTAGTGTACCATGTAATGTAATAATACCAATCTTATGTAATCACAAACCCATTGTACCTTCTTGTAAATACAATTATTATTATTAGTATCACAGTATATTATTATGTTTGTTTATTCACCACACTATAAAGAATATGGTTGCAGATTTAGACCAAAATTACTCTTGGCAAGGCTGAAACAATATAAATGGTGTTGGCTTGGCTGCTGTATCCCCTTCATGAAGTGATTTGTTTTTGCGAGGTTGCCTCTTTGTAGGTTTATTTGTATGGTATTTTCCTTGTAATGCATTTTGTTAAATTAATTTTGAGGCTTCACAAATATTACATTACATACTACCCTAGCAAATTTGAATTACAGTACTTTATATGTTTTCTGAATCATAAGCAGAAATAAAATAAAAAAAAAAATAACTAGTTTGACAAAACGTGCATATTTTGTACTTTATTTTAACACTAAATTGATCGACTCATTGATTATACAGCCTTTTTAGGAAATACTTTATATATACATGCTTGATTTGGTTCAATTTTTGCCTTTTAATTGTCTACTTTAATTTTCAATTTTCCCCAGCACTGGACCAACTTGGTGTGCACCATAGCACATGTGGTCATAGCCATCCCAGTGGTGTTTATTCCTCTGGCAGTCTTCGTGTCACAACAACAAAAGAATAGGAAACAACCCACCTTTCTCCTGGTCATCGCCCAAGGTACATATACGAAGCCTCAAGTTGCCAGTGATAAGAAGCAGAAACTGGATGTGTATGTGGATGTCAATGACATAAAGGAGGAGTATGAGGGAGAGGAGTATGAGGGAGAGGAGTATGAAGGGGACGAGTATGGAGGGGACGAGTATGGAGAGGACGAGTATGAAGGGGACGAGTATGGAGGGGACGAGTATGGAGAGGACGAGTATGAAGGGGACGAGTATAAAGGGGACAAGTATGAAGGGGACGAGTATGAGGAAGATGAGGGAGAGGGGTGTGAGAAGGTAGCGGGGGACCACACTGAAAAATATGTGTGTGATAAATTTAATAAATTTGTTGATAATGTTGATAAATTTGATGTAATTCAAATTGCTATAAATCCCAATCCAGATAACCCTAGTGTAACCCTTAAATCTAAAGATACCTATGAGTCATCAGGAAAGAAAGAGCGTAAAATCAGAGAGAACCTTAAGTTCTACCTGGGCAAAGATATTCTGAATGTCGAAAAATTTCCTCGTGAGGAAGGTGACTTTGTGGTCAGTCTTTAGACTGAACACATCAATTCCAACAGTGTGGTATGAAATGCTGACGTGAATTTTATATACAGTGGTATGTATGTATACTGTCAGCTCTCATGCTGAAAGGTTATTTATTGAGCAGCTTGGATAGTACAATATGTTTGGGTCAAACAAAACTTGCTTAGAATGAGAAATAAATTTATAACTTAAAATTTAAGTAAATTAGCAAATTGTACAATAACAAATAGAAGTTAAATGTGCCAACATAATAGTACATGTGTAACTTAATGGCAATTAATAGTCAATGAAGAATCAATTATAATGGAATAATTGACACTTGTAAATGAGAATTGGTTAATGAGGGGGGGGGGAATTAATTACCATTGAAAATCATGACAATGTAAAATCACACTTGATTAATTGACAACAAACTATTTATCAATGTTCTATGCATGATTTGGTGTGCAGCACGAGCCTTCCTAACCAGCTGCTCGGCTGACGAAGATGGCCCCTCCCCCACCAAGGAGGGGCCATCCTTTTTAATTTATATACAATATCTTGATTTTCCATTAAAAAATGTTTTTCTCATTTGTATTGGATGGTGTTACATAGATTTCCCAGCTTTGTGCTTTCTTTTGAGATTTACTTACTTGAATTGTATTGGAGCTGTGAAAAATAACTAGGCCAAGTAATTAAAAATACAGTGCATTTTTTTGCTGGTTAATATGAAATTTGTAGTGAAATAAATTAAAAAATTATTGCCACAGCAATTTTATACTTTATTCACTTCACCTAGAACATTTGTTGTATGGTATGTTATATTGTTCCAATGCCAATTAACTGTTAAATACAATTTTTCTTAAGCACCTAATTAACATTTTTTTGTTTGTAAATGATGTTTCTGGTGATTTGCAAAATTGGTTAGGCTTATTGAGTTATGCAAAATTTTTAAAATTTTTAAATTTTTGCACTTTTAAATTACAAAAAATTATATTTTACTTGGATAAAAGTTCTGATGTTACAATAACAAGTCTGCCACATCTAAAACAAAATTTACACATCAACATGAATTGTTTATTACTCTCCTTAAGAATGTAATTAAAGTTAAGCTAAGGATTTTATGACATCTTGTAATGACTGAACTCTCACAGAAAACCTGCAATTGCACCTTGCACTTGCATTAGCCCATGTTGAAATACCTAAAGAGCAAAGAACAAGATAACCTTACCTTGAGGTGCTTCCGGGGCTTAGCGTCCCCGCGGCCTGGTCGTCGACCAGGCCTCCTGGTTGCTGGGCTGATCAACCAGGCTGTTAGACGCGGCTGCTCGCAGCCTGACGTATGAGTCACAGCCTGGTTGATCAGATATCCTTTGGAGGTGCTTATCCAGTTCTCTCTTGAACACTGTGAGGGGTCGGCCAGTTATACCCCTTATGTGTAGTGGAAGCGTGTTGAACAGTCTCGGGCCTCTGATGTTGATAGATTTCTCTCTCAGAGTACCTGTTGCACCTCTGCTTTTCAACAGGGGTATTCTGCACATCCTGCCATGTCTTCTGGTCTCAGTGATAACAATATACCAGTGGCTGAGATAATACAAAGTACACTAATAGTCTCTTTCACCGTGATATTCCCAACCACAACCCCACTACATTCCTTCTCCACTCACCACACCCCCCTCTCCCCAACACATCCCTTCTTCACCCACCACACCCCCCTCTCCCCAACACATACCTTCTCCACCCACCACACCCCCCCTCTCTCCAACACATCCCTTCTCCACCCACCACACCCCCCCCCTCTCCACCCACCACACCCCCCCCCTCTCCACCCACCACACCACAAGTAGTTATCTTGCCCAAACAACTCACTAGAGGGTTTAGAACACTAATGGGTCATACATCAATTTATTTGATTGTTGTAAAACTGTGAAGCAGCTCTACCCCTAAGAAGGTATCAAGAATCACCGAGTAAGGATGTCATGTGGGAAGAGTAGTATAGGAAAAGGATTTTTATTTAAAGCAAAATTAAAGAATAGTGTATTTAAGTTATTTAACACACTGTTCCTTTATATTAAGAGTATCACTGCTACAAAAGCTAAAAGAAAAAAAAAAAGCAACAGCAGGACGCAGTCCAATGGGGCTCTAGTTCATAATAAGAACTTTGTCTCTGCCACTTGTAATAAGCAATAGAATGAGTAACTGAATACACAAGTGATTACTCTCTTGGCACTTACAATTAGTGCCAGGTGAAGATGCGAGTGATGCACAGTATGTACACAGAATTGTAAAAGATCAAAGTACTGTACAGTACACAATAATATATCAATAATCACAATTCCTGTAAGAGTTAGAACAATAACATGTCACAATGTAATTACTGTTATACAACTGGCTCACTGACCACATAGTATGTAATAAATACTACCCTGTCTAAAATAAGTCTACCCTGCAGCAGTAAATTAACTACAGTACTTAGTACAAATGAAATCACATTCAGGCTCCTTTTAATATGAAGTAATTAAAATCACGGATAATAATGACTGAACACCGTGGTCACAAATGACTAAATGCGTGATCCCATGAATACGCAATCACTTGCTGCATTGTCACCACACGGGATGTCAGCGGGCCAAGGCTAGCATGTTATCTCGGCCAACAGACTCCTGTCCATAGCAGACACTAATGAAGTCTCACTTAGGCATCCGCTCAATTCCTTGGAATCAGTCACTAGGTACAGTAACTAGAATAAGTGATAATACTGTATAACACCAGTAATTGGCTAGCTCCCCACTCGCACTCCATTCACACCGTTAACCGAGACAATGATGATCGGATGATGTCCATTGAGTTCCAGGCATTGGGTTCATCATACAGATACCACGTGTCAGTTGGTGCTGCCTACTTTGAATTTATTACAATACACCCTGGATATAAGGCCTTTGGAAGTCAATGGCCCAATTACTGACAGCTGTTACACACGTGTAGCAATAGTCACGTGGGTAGTTAGCACTTCACAATTGAGCAACAGTTAAAGTGTCCTAATTTCTAATATATTTAAAATATCTTCTTATCTCTTCACATGACACATGAGGTTAAGCTAAGCACTTATGCGACTTGCCTTTGGACTTTGGATTCCACTCATTTACAATGGTACAACAGTCTGTTACTCATGTCTGCACTTTTTCACATGGGATTGCTTATGCTATCACCACACTTGTACAAACTTCCTACTTTTATTCACTGTAACACGTTAAACAATTAGGGATTCTGCCAAGCCCAATTCGAATACACATGATGAGCGACAGAACTTCATGGAGCTTTCAAAATTGTTTCAGTTAATTTATTATGCACCACACATCCATCCTGCAGGCAGTGGTGGAAAGGGTAATGGGCTCAGGGATTGAACCCCAAAATTCATTTAGCTAAGCAAGTTGGGGTAAAGGTCAGAGAAAGGCATTAGCAAGAGTGAGGGTGTTGTAGGGACCATGCAAGCTAGTTACAAAATTTAATATATTGTTACATCATCATTGGGTCAAAGATAAACCACGTTTTTTTTTAAATAACCCTTTTAGCTCAGGAAAGCTTTTCTTGATAGTACGTTATTGTTTGAAAGCAGAAGAAGCTGGTTCATTACTTTGCACATTTGACATTTATGTTTCAACAATATATTGTTCGTAAAACATTAAGATTACTGTAAATTTATCCAGGTATTAATTTGTCGAATTAACTATATTGTATATAGTATAATTTTGCATTCTTTCCATTGTTAATTGTCAGCCTTTTTATGGATGTTAATACAGTACTTGTTACAAATTTGTACTTTATGTAGGGATATGCTCGGTGTTAACACATTGCACTATAATTATCTAGACTTCACTGTGGCATACTGGGCTGGAATGCCTTGGTATACAGAATTATATGCGGCATTAGTGATGAGGCTCTTGCTCCCAAAAGTATATTAGTTACAAGAATCTTGAGGTAGGTGTTTAGTTAATGCTCTGTAATACCCTCTTTAAAATAAATTCTGGATGCACTGAAGACAATTTTTTATATGCTTAATTGGTTAGATGTATTTAAAGTGAAATAGACAAAATTAATTGTTTGAAATGCCTTATTTGTGAATTTAACAATTTTAACAAAAACATTTTAAGTACCAGTATTCCTTATCAATAACTTACTGTAAATGATGTACAGTATTTGAACATTAAAATTTTACCATACATAGTATTTATATAACTACCCCTCCCCCCACTTTGATATATTTTTCCTGCGTATAAGTTTACTTGACAGCAAACCTAATAAAACATCTTAGTTAAATGATGATTTGAATTCTTTAATGTAATATTGCCATATAAAATAAGGATATAAGGATATATTACACATAAGGAAAGACCTGCAAAGGTTACATTCACTAAATATGATTCATGGCGTAGACTACTACTAGGGGTCTTGGGAGGATTTTTGACCTGCCTCCCCTTCAGAAGTTTTAATTTTTCTACAGATTTTGATACTCCAATATCCCAGAGGGTTGTTTTTCTTAAGTAAGTAATTATCAAAAGAAGGCACCAAACCAGGAAGGCTATGTAGCACCATCAAATGTGCGGAATAATCAGAGGGCGCTAAATATCACCAAGGATGCCAATACGAGAACAAAAACGCATAAGGCAAACGATATCAAAATTATCCGAGTCACCAAGAATTCTATCGAGGGAAAGGTGACCGTGAGGGGCGGTCGGAAAGCAAGACACACGCTCGTCCTGGAAGTCAGGACATTCAAGAAGGACATGCACGACCGTAAGAGGGACAATGCAATTAGGACAATAAGGAGCAGGGCGGCGCTCCATCAAGTGACCATGGGTTAAGCGAGTACGGCCAATACGCAACCTCACCAGAGCTGTTTCCCATCGCCGGTTACGGTGGTAGGAGGACGGCCACGAGGAAACACAACATTTAAGAGTACTTGGTCGTCTGTTACCAGTAACAGACGACCAAGAAGCCTGCCAACGTGTAAGGATGGAGGAATGGATAACCGAGTAAAAGTCTGAATATGGAATACCTTTACAAGAGATGGGACAAGATCGGACAGCTTCCTTGGCGGCAGCATCCGCACGCTCATTTAAAGACACGCCAATATGGCTGGGAACCCAACAAAACTCAACCGACTTAAATTTACCGTGAACAAGAAACAGCCAATGCTGGATCTCGACAACTATTGGATGAACCGGATTAAAGGACCCGAGAGCCATGAGGGCACTACGAGAGCCAACAATAACTACAAAGACTACAAAGGAAGACTGACAATGAGAAAGCAGGAGACAAAGAGCATAGAGAATAGCATAAAGCTCCGCTGTAAAGAATCTAGTCTCCAGAGGTAAGTGACACATATAAGTGCGATCAGGAAAAACAACAGAGTAGCCAACACCGTCCGCAGACTTAGACCCATCGGTGAAGACAGAAACAGAGCGGGAGTGAGAAGAAAAGTGCTCAAGGAAAAGGCGTTCCACTGTATTGTGGGTGACACACACATGTATATATAACTATAATGTGTGTATACCCTGTATATATACACATACCATGTATACACATTATGTTTGTCTCTTCCTTTGACAAGGGTAGGAAAGCTGCTACAGAATCAGTGTTATTAAGCAATTAACCACTGAAGGCATTAAGGTGTTTTTTACAAGATCATCAGTTAAATCACATTGTATAACTGATGTAACCCTACTGGGGACACCTAATAAAGATAAGTGAATACCATAAAATATACAGCCATTAATGCCACAGGAAAAATTAAAGCTCTTATATCCATATATATCTTTTTATTTCCATCTTTATAACAAATGTGTCATCAGACACTGCTGTGAAAAGTCTAGGATTGTGGAAATCTGTTTTACAGCATAAACATTACACCCAAATCATATTTGGTAAAAAGGCAGCAATCAAAATTCACTTTTCAAGAACCAACCATCATGTTGGGTTGTCTCCTCACAGCCGTGTCGGTGAATGAATATAATTTGTACTTAAAACCATGAATTTACAAAAAATGAACTACAAACATCTTTGTGATGTTACCTTAGGCATGAGCAATCTAACTTGTATGAAAATGGAGCGCCAATGTTTTGGTAACATTACCAGTGATCACAAGCTTTTAGAAAGTTTAAGGTTTAGTTTCCTTCTCCACATGAACGTAAGAGTCCCCCGTCACAACTGTTGATGCACTCACTTGATATCTGTTCCCAAAATAAATTCCATGAAGAGGCCCATTGTCTGGGGACACACCTACTTAAGACAAGGAAAGTATACCTTTTGTATCTCCTTACTTTTAAAAGAAAATAAGGACATCTAATAACAATATAATATTACATATGGCTAATCACCGATATTTTCCACATCACAGAATCTAAGGTTCCGCAAAATAAAAAATTAATGGAAAATTTATCAATTGAATTATGCATGTTAGTCAAATTTAGAACAAATTAACTATAAAATTTATTATATTAAACCATCACTGGCACTGCTTCATTTGGTGCATTGACGGTCAGGTCCACTGGGTCAGGGGCGGAGAGAGCACTACTTCTACGTGATTTTAACATCACGCTTCGCTTGGCAGTGAAACTGGGTGCAAAATAAGTTCATTGGCAAACATGCACAAAAATTGTCTTTAAAAGCTTCAGCAGGTAAGTATACTTTGTAGGACACTGTACAGGAATTAAAATTCTCTATCCCAAGCTCTGCCAGATCGTATTTAATTTGTGCACACACAAATATTTTGTTTACTAACATAGGCTCCCACACTAGCGAGATGCTTTGGGATCACTGGTACTCGAATATCGAATATCAATCTTCAGGCTAATTTGTTTGGTATAGCCTTATTAACAGGTTTAAAAGGAAACACGTTCCTTTTCATTGACTAAATGCAAATGTCTGTAACAACCACTTTCACCAATTGATTCATCTAACACACACACACTAGCATCACCATGACCACAAGCCAATTCAAAATTAAACAAACAACTGTAGACCAGACAGGATCTAATTGTCACTGAATATGCATTACAGCTGATGTTCAAGTAATAAGGCATCTGAACTGGCAAAAGTGGTTGAAACCGGTTTTCTGATCACTTTTTGGACGAATTGATGAAACTTAAATTCATTGCTCAACTGCCAATTTGACAGTTAAAACTCCCTTGGCACAAAAATAAATTATCTATTGTTTAAAGCGAGTATAATTTCATCATTAAGAGTCCACTGTGAAAATATGGAAGGATGGAAGTGATTGCATTAAGCAATCAAAGCGCATGCCTGTGGACCACATAATTTACAATACACTACTTGCAGTGAATAGGAAAATATGTACCACTGTATCCAGTGAAATTATCGAAGGTCATAGCTTTGGGAACACTTACCCATGCGGAATGCAAAACGAACTGTATCGAAACGAATTGTTTACATCACTGATGATTAAGAAAGCGGCCCGTTTACGTGACCGAGGAAATGCAGAGGGCAGGAAGATGACATTGAACAAAGCATCTGACCAAGAACTGTGGACTTGTGGCAACATCTCTACCTACCACTGATGCTATCTTACAGTTAAAAGAATGCTTGCCTAAAACATTATGGGCAAACTCTTATTTTATTAGAGTACCACATACTCTATACATTATTACATTAAATCCCAAATTGAGATGTGCCCAGAAACACAATTCCTTTGCATAAATATTCTAAACTGGTCTCGACTACCAGTTTCTGACCAACTCTCTTCGCTACATATAAATATCTTCATTCCTGGAAATAATTTCCATAGACTATAGAAACCATATAAAATGGTGAAAAATATAGGGATTCTAGCATTACATAAAAACCAAGCTTTGGTCTATAAAAGGTGCCATATAAGAATGGGAAAGCTCTGCCAAACCTCATTAGTCATTCATGCAGATGCAAATTTAAACAAAACTATGCAAATATAATAAAAATTAGCAGAAATAAAAATGCATAAACGAGATCTCGCAAGCCTTTACAAAAACACTCCCGGGACTAAACACCGCATGGTCAGAAATTAAAATCAAAGAAATCGCTGAGGCCCTCTGTGGGATCCAACGAAAAGGTGTAGTCAGTGTCAGAGATTGGGGGCTCCAGGGTGAGGAATGGCAGAGGTGAACCAGATGAACAGCTTAACATCAAATCTTCAGAACCACCTGCAAAAGTAAATACTAATCAAAAGAAGGCACCAGGCCAACCACCACCTGCAAAAGTAAGGCTTTCAATAGCTTCTTTCAAAAAAAAAAATCTTTCAACCCCAATTAAAGATACATGCCAAAATTTATATTTACCCGCTTTTCAGGTGGGTGACCCCCCCCCCCCCAACCCCTATGCCCTCTGTATGTACTATTCTACAAACCTGTAGATTAAAGAGTTTTTATTTTAAAGTTAGCACTGTAAATCAATTGATGTAGGTCTTTGCTCAAGGCATACACAGTTTTTCAAAAGTACAAATTAAAGAACTGGCAAAGGGTTACAAATACATTAGAGCTGATAGGTAACCATTATCAGAAAGCATTAAGCCATTGTGACTATATAGCACTTGGTAGGAGTTGGAATAAGACAGAGGAAAGGAATGGTGCTGAACCATTTGGATGGTCAGGGATTGAACACCTTTCCACAAGTGAGACCACTGCTCTACCATCAAAGACACCAGAAATGAATGATTACTACTTAGAATGAATACTTAGAAATAATCATGCCTACTACTTCAATTAACTTATGTCCAAGTTAATTGAACTACCTTTGTTAATTAATATTTTTTCAATTCTACAAAATTATTTTATTAGTTTTCACAGCAGCTTACATTCTAGCCTTTTTAACAAGCTTAGACCTGAATTAATAAAACCCCTGGTGATGTGATCTGACTACGGTGACGAGTCTGAAGCGGACGAGTTCCAGATCATGCTGAATCCACTGGTGCTATGATAAGATACAAACACAGGACCAGGAGATCCAACAAAAGCTAGAACTCTTTCTTGGTGATGAGTAGTTTGTCATTTCATTTCAATGACCTGCACTACACTTTACTTCTAAACTTTAAATTAATTCAAGTCCCTTTAGATTGACCAGGATACAGGCCCATGGGTGATCAACTACATACCAATGGGGAGGAAGGGGGGAACTATTTGCATATAGATTAACCCTTAAATGGCGCATAGCTATATACCATTTGACACCCACAGGCGCATAAAAAAAAAAAAAAAAAAAAAAAAAAAAAAAATTCTTTTTAACCTGTTAATTTGTGTTCATTGATCACGGGAAAAATAATAAAAAAATCGTAAGTGGCATATATTGCCCACTATAGGGCGGGGAAGTGTGGCAAAAATCAGGCGCTGACTGAGCGTGCATCCCAGGCGGTCTGTTGATCGCCAGCTGTCAGGCCAGTTTCCACAAAGAGATAATTACCTAATTATTTCAATGTCTCTGATTTTTCGTAGTTTTTTTGCTGTAATATTATTCAATAGTGTGTAGTGTGATATATTTATATAATAAAATGAGTGAATCATCGCTGTACTCAAAAATATGGTGTGCATATTGTTGATTCAATTATGTTTATCAAACAGTGAACAAATACTTTGTCGGTTATTACACTATATACACAGGTTATATATAAGTATCTGCACGTTTTGTTCACCATGACAAACCACCAAGTTGGTATGCTGAGCGGCAGTGGCAGGCAGTGACTGGCTGCCACTCCCTCCCTCTCATCACCTCACCTGACTTGCCACCATTCTCCACCCACCATACTGTTTTTGATTTAAAAAAACAGTCGTTATATACTGTATAAGTATTTACATGTTTTGCTCACCATAACTGTACATCTAAGCTTGTATGGTGAGTAAAGGCACAGAGACGAAGCTACTCACACAGTCAGCTGGTGGTGGCCGCCCTTAAGGCCAGACGCACTAATATTTCTCCTACAACAATACTGTTTGTGGTGTTATTACGCTATATACACATTATATATAAATATCTACCTGTTTTATTCACCATACTTGTACAAGTAAACTGGTATGGTGCCTAAAGACCATCGTGGTCATCAGTAAACAACATAAGTCCTGCAGACGACGCTCCACCCTCACCAAAATGGCGGCTCCCAACCTCCTACTCTGTTATCTCACACTATACACACGTTATATATAAGTATCTACATTTGTGTTCACCATAGCAAACCACTAAGCTGGTATGGTGAGTGCAGCCAATAAAAGGTGGCCACACACACTCAAAAGACAACGCCACCATCCTCCCTCTCACAGCATTACTCCTCCCTCCATGGCGCACAGCGCCAAATATCACCACAATCCTGCTATTATTAGAACCCTGGTCAGTTTTATCACAGTCAGGGGTCTTCTGTAATAATATCATCGCTACATAATAGCATGAACAAGTATATTATGGCATTTTTAGGCGATGCTGTGGTCACAAGCTGAACAGCAGTGCTGTGAGCTCATGCTGCGTGCATCAGGCTTGGTAGCTGACTCAATACTGAGGCCCCTAACACCCGGGAGTTTGGCCCACGATTTTTTTTTAAAAATGGCGTCTGTTTACAAGAGCCCTGATGAAGGTGTGGTGAACCCTGTGTATCCGCGGGCCGTTTAAATCTTGCGTAGTACTCCAAAGCATCACATGATGCGATGCACAATTTACTGCAAGTCGGCCAAAGCATCATATGATGCGATGCGCAATTGAAGGGTTAACTTAGCCTATTAATACTTTAGAAGGCACCCCAAAAATAATACTTAAAAATTTACATTTTGAGTTATAGGGGTCTGGTTGGTTGTTTGATAAACACCCCCAAAAAATAGCTGATCAACTAGGCTGCGATTCATGCATCAGGCATTAAGCAGCCACAACCAACAGTCCGGTTGGACAGACCACCAACCAGCTTATAGGTACATTGATTCTCAGAACCACAAGGTAACAACTGAAGCGAGCCAGGCTGAACAGATCAGCCAAGTACTACACCCCAATAATAAGCTTCCAATTTGTAACAATTTCACCATTATGAGAAAATGGTCCGTTTTCCACAACTGACTAAGTGGCACATTCTAGAGCAACTGCAAATACACAAAGTCAGAAAAGCTACCCCCATGTGCACCCTGCAGTGCACAAAGGGGGGATAAGACTTTGTACACAAACTTAGTACTGAGGTGAAACCTAGCTTATTTGGTACTCTTGAGATGCCAGGTCTAAATGCACAATGATGCCACAAGCGAGCACAGCATTTCCATTATTACGAGCCAAGGCTAGGTATCTGCTATCTTGAAAAAACCACGGGAAGGAACATCCTACCTCAGGCAATGGAGAGGTTAGATCATCTTCAACCGTCATTCCAAAATTGATTACATTACAACCCACGTCACCTGGGATGGGATAATAGCAACCCACTACAATCAGACACCTGCAGAATCACCAATCACTGATTGACCAATCCCACATATGAAAACTGGAGCTGACTTAAGTGTGCATGCTGCACCAAGGCAGCTGCTGTACTTCAGCCAAGGACACAAGACATGTAAGATGTGTGCTCTTTCTGTTAATAGTCACTAGGGGAGGGGGGGTGCAGAAATAGCCTAAGCTACCCTATCCCTTTGAGATGCATTTTATTGTCTCAATAAATGTACATGAACTTGAATAGTCACTAAATAGAAAAAGTCCTTGGCCCATCAAGTTCAACTAGTGTCCTTATTTGTCATGCTTATTTTTATTTATTTATTTATATATATACAAGAGTTCTTGCATTCTTGTACAGCCACCAGCACGCATAGCATTTCGGTCATGTCCTTAATCCTATGTATCCCGGAATACAATCCCACCAAATTGTTTAACAACCAAGTACCCATTTTACCGTTAGGTAAACAGAGGCTACAGTTACGGACTGACGCCCAGTAAATCCTCCCCGGCCAGAATACGAACCCAGGACAAAGCGCTCGTGAAACGCCAGGCGAGTGTCTTACCACTACACCATGGCAACTCCTTGCCGTGATGACAGCAAATTCTCCTTGCCAGAATTTGAGTGTGTGTATTAATGAAGTGAATGGACTGTAAAAGATGCCATAAGGCAAGTCCAAAAGCAAGAGGACAGTGTGTGTGCAAGCCAATGTGATCTAGTGTTGTATCAAAGTCACCTGTGTAGTTGAGATACAGAAGTGTTTGGTGAACATTGTGTGAACCTCTTAAGTCATTAAGTGTTAGGACAGGATAGTAAACGAGTGAACCATGTGATAGATCAGCTGAGGCATCCCAGTCTCTCTGATGCATGTGATATTAGCTCTGATGACACCAAGCTACATCATAAGCACCCTATCTTGAGGTTATCTTGAGATGATTTCGGGGCTTTTTTTAGTGTCCCCGCGGCCCGGTCCTCGACCAGGCCTCCACCCCCAGGAAGCAGCCCGTGACAGCTGACTAACACCCAGGTACCTATTTTACTGCTAGGTAACAGGGGCATAGGGTGAAAGAAACTCTGCCCATTGTTTCTCGCCGGCGCCTGGGATCGAACCCAGGACCACAGGATCACAAGTCCAGCGTGCTGTCCGCTCAGCCGACCGGCTCTCTATGTATTAGCTCCGACCTATGTATTAGCAAGTAACTTTTATGAATAAACATTGTGTTTGCATAAAACCCTCCAAGTACTGCCACTCGCTCAGGTGCCTTCAGCAGGGAATTTTCTCCAGATCATTAAGCATCTAATAAATTAAAACTTTTGATGACCCATTGACTAGTCCTTTAGATCTAGTGTTGCATTTAAGTTGTTACGACCAAGTTGAACTGGGACCTGATGAAGCCAGTCAATAAGGACAACCCCAAAAGAGATGTACTCTACCCAAGTGCATCCTAGACCTATACACTTGCTCTTGTAAATGCTAGACCGATTGGCATTTATTACAACCGTCAGCCATTACAAAATGATGACAATACATGCAACCATGTCAATAAAAAGCAAAATTCCACAACCACACTATTCATTTTTTTTTAAATATTTGCTAAATTGCCTCTTAAAAAATTATACTAACGATTTTTTACAGAGAATCCTGCAATATGTAACTAACTTTACAACTTACTTTTCTGCATTATAATGGAGTTATATACAATATTTATCAAGTTATTTACAAAATACAACTAGGTTCCGAAATAAATTACTACGAACCTATGAGAAGGTGCAGACAGTTGTGTGTTAAAAACGAGTCTTACGGGGTACCTGCAAGTGCCTTGCAAGTATGGCAGATTCAACATACACATGATCTAAGCCAGATCTAATTATGAGGCACAGAATTTGAAGTTCCATAATATGAAGATCTAAAAATTCACAGGTAAAAAAATGTACACGTTTAACGTTTAGCCGCTTCAGGTGTTCAACCTTTGGTGTACATATCCCAAGACAATAAAAGAACTTTAGAAACATTAAACTCCTGCAGTTTGCACAGGTTCCCAGTCTGCATACAAGGCCTGCAGCGAACACCTGCCATCTTCATAACTGACAATCACAGGGCATGTAGCATAATAGCAAAACAAATGTATATTCTTTTTTTTTTTTTTTGCTGTTCACGCTGTTTATCTGGGAAGCGGATAATGGTTAATGTAACGTTTGGACAATCCAAGTGTTAAACATGCATCATCAAAATGCAGCGCATGACTTGTGCATATTTTGCCTTATTAGAAATTTCTCATTTGCACCAATTTTATACAGTAGCCACTTGAGAAGTTAAAGCATGTACAGTACATGAGGATTGGCCCAAGTAAAATATCCTTTTCCTTTCTGTTTGTCATAATTTAATTGCCTACAAATCTAAACTGTTAGTGATTAAATTGTCAACAAAATTAAGTTATTCTTTCAAAACAAATTAAGAAATTGCTCCTAAAAAAAATAATTTGCAATGACAACACAAACAAACCAGCCTGAAATAACTAAGCATGTTGCTCATAGGAGGACTCGCATGCAAAAAAATGATATGCAATGCCTCAAACTTTTATCTAAACAATATTGGATTTTTTGCAACAGCCCTCGGAAATATATTTACACCCGTTTTGGTACAAGCCCCACAGACAACGACACTTCTTACTATTCAAAATGGAGAAGTAAAATGGTAGTAAATGCAGCCCTCTCTCCTAAAAATTATTCACACAAAGTATCAAACTAATGTTCTACAGCCACTTCATAATAGAAAGTTTACATTATTAATGTTCTGGACCTGGTTACCAGATGAAGTGGTGTAAAAATTTAGACATTCACCTTGAAGGTTGTACAAAACACAGTATTGAAGAAATATGTCAATTACTATTCTACATCAAGATTTACAAGTTAATCTGTTTATACTTTATGTGCATTTTTGTTTATGTTTATATGTGCATTTACAAACATATTAACTGTGTTAATTTAGTTGCATAATCAAGTACTGTTAAAAATTAAGTTTCAAACCTATATTCTTCATAATTGCATCACATTTCCTTGACATGTATCAGATATTAGTAAAACTTGATCCCAACACATCAGCAGCACACTGCGGCAAAAATGGACATCTTTGGAGAAAAGTTTACCAGCAGCACCCAGCACAGAACCTGGAGGTAACTAACACTGTGATATGTTAATAACTGCCACTTAAGGCATACCACAGTGGTAGTTCCTGCAGCCACTGAGCTTGGACAGTTCATCTTGCGGTTGTACAATCCACTTCGAGCATTCTATCATATCTAGGTTTTTCTGCAATTTGTAGGGACCAATGATATATAATTATTCAAATTGTGTCAAACCCCTACAAATCCTAACATTGAGAACAAAACTTTTTACATCCTAGAGATTTCCATTCAATAGCACAAAATGCACAGTGATAAAAGCTGCCAGACAAACCAGCAATGCTAGACCTGGTCTTTACCCAGAGTGAAGCAGCTAAGGAACATAAGAGGTGCCACTGAGAACCAAAGACCACTGCGACATAGTATTTGACATCATGGAGCCAAATGAAGTGAACAGGTTGGAAAGTAGATACTGTACAGGAGGAAATTAGACAGATGCAAATGAATTCCTTCAGGCAACAATGTTGGAGAATGAATTTGAGCAAAAGGCAGCAAATGATATTGGAGCATGCTGTTTAGAAATACTGTGGCTATAGATAATATACCTGGTACCACTTTGATGATGTATTCAAGAGAAAGAAACCAATAAAAAGCCAAGAACAAAAAACAAAAGGTCCAGCAGCTGAGTACCGAGGCAAACAGGAAGGTACTTTGGCCTAAAAACAATTATTATTATGGTCAGGAGAGAGAGAGACTTTCAGAAAGAAGTAGCTGCACAAGCTAAGAAACACAAGCTACTGCACAGCCAAAGATCAAACACTGGTAAAGGATGCGCTCGCAGAGTAACAAGTCTACGAGGTGTTGAGCAGAAGGTTCAAAGAGCTTCCAAGAAGTCTTCCAGACCAAACCAGAGTAGAGCCCATGCACAGATAAGTGTGTCTCACACGCACTTGTATCCCAGCAGGTGATGGATTCACCTCTTGATTGAAAAATGTGAATTATCACATCTTACTATCCACAATGACAGTGGATGCAGAGTTAGACATCATTAGCAAATGCTATGAACTATGAAAATCTGACTTGCTATACATGACTTATCCTATGTTATTTGTAGCTCCTAGCATTAAAAAATTATGTTTGTTGTATTCTTTACTTTATAGTAAAGTATGGATAGGTTAAATGAATAAACACATTCAATGCAATCTGAACAGTTAAACAGCAGTGAAGGTTTACATTTGGCGAGTCTGACACTTGAGTCGAGGCATACATAGGCAGGTAGTTGCCAAGTCAGTTGCATACAAATGGTCACATTAGCTCTGCCAGCCAGCTAATCAGAGAAATAGCAAATAAGTCAGTAAATCCACCCATGAATGGCCAGCAAGAATGATATAATCAGTCAACAGTATCAAATACAGACCTGGCAACTCGCTGACCAGCATCATAACTTTCAACGACCCAAATCCCGCAAGTTATTTGTGACTTCGGTATCATGTGTCACTACATACATCGCATGTAAACATTTACAAATTAAGGAAATATCTGGAGAAAAAGAAAACTTAATCAAGAGTCAAGAAGATGTGCTTGACAAACCTCATGAAGTTCAACAACCACCACCAAAATTACCTAAGAAAAAGATGGCTGGGTAACTGCAGCATTTCCATCTTCCAAAACCAGGCTGCAGTAACTGGGAAAGTATCTGACAGGCCATCAGAAACATTTAAGGAAATGTCAGGGTGGAAAGAAATGGCAAGCAGGATCCTAAAGCTTGGTCTGATGACCCCTGCTGCTCCTGATAACCCTGATGGGTTATCAGGATCCCTGATAATCATCCCATGATAACCCACTAGGGTTATCAGGGATGGGTCAATAACTCATCTGAGATGGCAAGATTTTACAGTTTACATTATCAGTGTTGCATCTGTAATGTAATTATCAGGAGAAAAAACAAAGCCAATATGACTACTTAGTACTTGGAAGCATCCAAGGATGAAAAATCTACGGGAGGACGGGACAAGGAACAATGTCCAACCACTTGGACCATTAGGATTCAATCACAGACCTTAAAGAAGCAAGGTAGTCTCTGTACTGACCAGTCCAAGTGGTTAGGTGCAGCACTGATAAGAGTGACAACCAAAAGATAAAAAAAAAAAACGATTGAAACAAACTACAAGCTTAGGCAAATAAATGGCTCTTGGGATTCAAAATGCTGCTGCTCGAATATCGGAATAGCCCAGACTGACAACACACAAGAAGAAGGCTGCGGCAAGTCGGAAGAACCTGGGAGAGGACAAAATGGCAGCATTACATCAAAGGTCCTTACAGAGTAACAGCAGCATATACAAAATGTGCAAACCTAATTAATTATTCAGAACATTACACATCCAACTTACATCAGGCAGTCTTGGAATATTCAATGACAGCATGGAATTCTCACTGTGTAAAACACAAGAAAATAGAGGTGTCAGATTTGCTACAAGAGTAATACCAAGGTTAAAGTTTAGTTTGAAGATAGATTAAGAGAATCCAATACATTGGGGAAAAAAAGGATCAAATTGTTATGATTCCAACAATATGGAGAAATAACTGAAGTGGATAAATTATAATTTCCAGATGAACTAAGGCAGAAGAGGGAACAACTGGAAACAGTTGAGGAGCTGAAGGAAATAATTGTATACAGTGCATGTGTTAAGCAAGTACAATACTTACACCAGGAGCCATGGAAGCTACCATGATCCCTCACTTAGAATATCGAGTGTTAAGACACTAGGTACAAGAGCTGGGAGGTGGGGCCCTAGCACACCACTTCCTGGTGTAAACAATGTTTTTATTTTGACAAAAGTAAGAGTTGAGCAATGCCTCTGGACAAATAGTCACACTGTATGCACCAGGCACTGGGTTTGATAACTCCTGGAACCATCATAACTGTGTAACAAATAATTTTACTAGTTGAAAAAGAATGTACACAAGGCAATCTAACCTTCACTCTGGTCGTCCATTTGTAACTGAAGCTTTCCCCCTACAGGTCCCAGATCTTCTGAGCCAAGAATGAGAGCCTTACGAAGGCTGTCATCATCCAAGCCTAAACTTGATGAGGAGCCTAGAAGACTTTCACTCTTGACATCTTCTACAGGGTCAGGTAGCTCGGTTTTAATGTTTGTGAGGAGAGGTGAAGTCGGTTCCTAAACAAAAAATTAAACTTATCAATGACACACAAAAAATACAACTTAAGCTACCACAATTAAATAAATAACCTTCCCAAAGATAATTAATATTCTTGAAGACTGCAGGGAAGGCTAACTTGTGTCCAAGCTTTCTCAAGACATTAATTCATAAGTAGAAACCCTTACAAAGTGTTTTAAGCATGTTAACAAATGTTAATATAATTTCTCAAAATTGTTCTTTTGATTTTAGATATAGCATGGCATCTCCATGCCATTAGTGTACAATGATTACAAAGTATTCAAAATGAGCTACATTGAGTATGGGGAATCTATGTGTGTGTACAGGGAGGTGGGAGGAGGTAGTGTTCTTGCCTCGTTACATTGAAGAGCCTCAATCTAGCTCTTATTTTGTGGATTTGTAACTCAATGTTCCAGTACTCTGCTGTACTTTCCTTGAAACTGAATAATATGCTACTTCCACTTCACATCTTGGCCACTCTTTATGCACATCTTTCCTTACATTTCTGACTTGTTTAATACCATTAGGGTTATAATGAAAATTTACATATACTGTGGTATATAGTACGAGAATGGGACAATTTTATAGTGATAGAATGAGACATTCCAACCAAAGTAATGTTACTGCTAATAATCTTGAGAAAAGTGCCCTTTCAGGAAATTCCATCCAGTCTCCATTACATAGTGAAGAGAAGGATAAGGCATGAATTTGGTTTAATAAAAGCACCACTACCATAAAGTATTTAATTTCAAAAAATATTCTGCCTCCACCCCACATTTATTATTCAATTTGTTATTTTCAAATTTCAGCTACAATTGCAATGTTTACATTATAATACTTATGTGCTTTTCAAAATGAACTAATTACAATACAAACAATAGGTAACATGCATATTTCTTGCATTGCATAATATTTAACATTTTATTGTCTAAGTAGTTTGGGCCTCCTCATTGGCTCTTTTTTCCACTCCCATCCCACACTTATTAGCAAATGTACAAGATAAAAGAAATTATATTGTTACCTTCTTTGGTGTTCTTAAGACAGGTTTCCGAGTTTGCAGTAACGCCTTATTAGTTCTTGTCCGCGTGGGTCTTAGTTTAGTCCTAGAGGTATTTGCTAACTGTTGTCTGACTGTCTCAGATTTAATAGGACTATGTTTGATGGGGCTCTGTTTGATGGGACTATCACCGACAGTAGATTCGGACAGATATACTTCTATTGGGCCATTGTCACTCTTTAAATGGATTTTACAGCCCTGCAAAGCAAAATTAACGTATGAATTGTGGAATAAACTTGGGGAAAAATGTTTCAATATCAATAACTTCAAATGCCTTCATAACCAAACCACTAATGGTTAGGTGCTATAACAAGGAGATGGAGGGACCAGGAGGCAAATAGAGATGGGGAAATGTGATATATGGGGGAAGACAAAAACATGACAAATAATGATACACAATGACGACACTAACTGAATAACGGGACAAAACATGAAACGGTTTTATTTGCAAACTAATTTCAATAAAACATTTTAGAAAGTATATCCTACTCATTAGGAACAAAACACACTTCATTATTTGTAATTTACCACCATTAGGACAATACCACATTCAGGAAAGCACCATTTGGCTCAGCTGGAAGCAGGTAACCCGAGTGTTTTGTAAGCGACTTCTATATAAACTATCACCATTCCCACAGGCAAGGAATCCAGAATAGACCAGGAATAGAACCCCTTTATCTCTCTCATTCTCAGACTTTCTGATTAGTTCATTAGTTAGCTTGTAACAAGACATGAGCTACACACCAATGCAAAAAAATATTTGTCATGAACTAATGTAGCTTCCATGGTTGCTTCAAACCCATTCCACCAGTTGTAGCTTCCATGGTTGTTTCAAACCCATTCCACCAGTTGTAGCTTCCATGGTTGCTTCAAACCCATTCCACCAGTTAATCACCCATACTGAACACTGGTTATTGCACGATTTCTATAAAACACGTCTAGTTTCAACGATACTCCTTCATTCTACCTTCCCTCTATTTATATCATATCTAAGATATCCTCTTCAGTATTCCTTGCAATTTCCTACTCTCCCAAACATTATTATTGTCCTTCACTTTTGTCCACACACTTTTAGCAATCTTCTACAAATGCCAAAAACTACCTATTTTAAATATTGAAGAACAGCATTCTCAGCAAATATCAGATTTAACTAAACTGTATTATTCATGTCTTCCCTAATTTCACTCTCCTGGTATTCTCAACCTCACCTAAAGATCCTATTCCTCTATGATCTTTAAGAGGTTGTGACAATGTTGAACATAAACATCACACCTGGCACATGCCTACGTTAACACTTCCACTGTGCAAGAATATGTTTTCTAAAACTGTTCAAGATGAACAAATCTACAAGGGCCACGATGAGGGTTCAAACCTACGTCATCACGGCCCTTGTGGATTTGTTCATTTGATGTATCATGCTATTATGATTTCTGTGTGTACTGTTTAAGATATAAAACCCAACAACATAATACAACCATACAACCTATTAGCATGAAAAAACTAAATAAATCGAAACTGAGAAATGATAAAAATAAATCAAAGTTATTCCCATGCAGCATTTTCCCTCATTCCTGGAAAAAAAATCTCTGCATCACTTCAGCTAAACCACAAGTCATGCCTTTTTTACTCAGATTTTTCTGCTTCCTAGCTGCTAACCTACACACCACATACAGTCGCAGTCCTGTGATAGGCAAGTCCACTACGGGCTTGCCATAGCACGTGCTACTGGGAACTTTTGTTAAGAGTAGCTGAATCTCAAACAAAAACCAACTAACCACGTGCTAATTAATGCCAAAAGAACAAAATTCTGAATTTTTGTCACCACCACAGGGTTGTTAGCTATAAGCAGGAGCGCCGTGCAGGAGTTGATATAAAATCGGTCACTCTTGCACAGTTAACCATCTCACGCCATGCTTCCTACATAATGGCTCCTCACACCATTCAATAACATTCCACACAATTCATGAAAACTTAACTCTGCAGAGGCCTTATCTTTTCACAATTTAATGCTTTCTGTAAGTCCATAAATGCTATATATACCTCAATCTTTTTCACACGTGTTCTCTACTGCTAATTGTCTTGGTGAATATCTAATACTGTATATATAACAACTGCTACCATCAGGAAACCCACCTTGTCCATCACAAACTAAATTCTAATGTTAACTTCTGTGTTATTCCAATCACTATGGATCTATATAAAGGTTTCCTACTCAGTAGACCAATGCCTCAACAAAATTATAGTAAGTGCTACATTCATGTAAAATTTTATGTAAAGTTATAACAAAAAAAATTCTTAACCCTTCAGCTTCACACCCCATCAGGTGATACCCCATCAGGTGATACCCCATCAGGTGATGGGGTGGCTAATTATGCCCAGAAAATTAACATCTCATCAGGTGAAGTATTAGAGTATGTCGCAAGATTTTCGACATTCTGCGGGTACATGGGTATCGCATTGACAACTCAGGCCTCCAGTAAACATATCATTTTGGGGAGGAAAAATAAATAAAATCATAGACACTGTTCCTGGGTGTGAAGGCCTCAGTACCAAGTGAGGAACCAAGGTGCATGCAGCATGAGCTAACAGCATTGCTGCTCAGTTTGTATTTAAGTGATGCTGTTGCCACAACAAAACATACAACTGCTATTATGTTGTGATAGAAGATCCTGACTGTAATAAACACTTTGTACAATATTCAGACATCAGTGAACACTATGATGTTCACAGTTGACTAAATGCACTCTGCCGCCTTTGATGCAGCTGTGTGTTGTGAAACTACCTCATCCTCGTCTAGAAAATAAACTTGTGCAACAACTATTCATATTCAGGATTTACTGACCAGATTGTTGATGACAATAGCAACACTGTGCCTCGAGTTAGAGGTTGGTGTGTTATATTTGAGGCATTATGTCAAGTCAGGCATCACCGTCAGCTGACTAGCGTGTTGATGCAGTGCCGTGTGTGGACCAATCAGACCAGCATATTGTTTCAGCGTGGTGCACAAAATGTTGATAGTAATATATTAAGTGTATATGTAGTGCACTAACAGCAAAAGCACTGTTTCCTTGCTCTAAGCCCAAGGGTTAATAATTAAAATTCTATTAATATTTAATTTCTTGAATGCTGGTTGGTTCTTAAAACTTTTCAGGGTATAGTTTGTAACAGTTTAATGAAGTATCCGCTGACATCAGGGAATGCGTATTGTGGTGCAGCTGGATACATCTCCCGATAGCGACCTTCTGTGTGTAACCAAAACCATTACAAAAATTGACCCAATATGTGCAGGTGTTTACTACATATCGCAGACACTGAATTTGGGGAAAAACACAAGACATCCTGGTTTGAATATTCCTATTGGTGATACCTAATGACATGCAGAATATTTGGGAGGCACCATGAAACAATAATATGACCTATAAAATTCAAGATGCCTAGGAGGAATCAAGAGAGCTGTGGTGCTAGCTTGGGCATTGTGCACCAAACCACTTAACAACCCTTGTGCCAACTCGTTCGCATGCTGATCTGTAATTTTAGTTAAATTGGTGTAGAGGCAAATTTGCACAATCTAAAGATGCTGTCTTCGGAATCCACTTGTCGTACTGCATATTCCCTGAATATACCAGTACTTTATCACGACTACATTCTAATTTCATCTAATGCAAGAACTTCACAATTTACCCAGGAACAATCTTACCTCTTCTTTTGACATGCTATCTTGGATTGGGACTTGTAACTGTGTTCCAGGTGGAGCTTTGATTGCAAACACTGTCTTGTCTTGATAATACCGAATGGTGTGTAGATCGTGGTAAGTGATATATGCAGACCTTTTGTCTTGACTCATTTGCAGGAGATCTCGCTCTAGGAGAAAAAGTAGACATTCACTGCACAAAACTTTAAATACATTTTTACCAAAAGCAAGCTTGATATTTGTTTTGTTTAACAGTTCCTCATACAGGTCAAGAATTACCTGCTTGTTCTATAAGGTCATCAAGCTCATTCTCCTTCGCCTCCAAATCCTCAAGCTCACCCTCCAAGTCCTCACTGCTTACTCTCGAAGCTCTGAAATATAAATTACGTTACCATGAAAATACAATTATTTTTAAATTTGGAAATGAAAATCAAGTGTTCAAATTAAAACATCTTAATACAGAATAAAATTAGCATTCCATAAGCAATTAATCTTAATTTTTTATATGTAGAAGAACAACAATTAATAAGCCAAATAAGAGCTTATCAGTATCAGTTGTTCTCCATTGCTGTACCAGACACGCGGCACCTGCAGGGCAATATTTGCCAGCACGTAATTTAGTCGTCTGGATAAAGGGTATTAACACCTTTTCTTCCTGTATAATTTCCAAGATCCAAGATTAAAACTGATCTTTTGTCTCCACATTACTATGTATAGTGACTAGCAATGAACAAGAACATTTCAAAGTCAAACATTTTAGCTGGAAACTCCAGCATACCCTAACCAATTTCAGAATGAACAAATACTCTTACTGTGCCTCACTAGATGTAATTCCAGCCCCTCCTCCTGTTTTGGTAGTACTTATAGTAACGATGAGGACCATAGTATACATGCCAACATAAGACGAAATCAGAAAGTAGAAAACGGTGCTATCGAGTTTGACAAACTGGAAAACTATTTTCTACTTATGTTGCAAAGACAAACTTAACCTTCCTAGGCCTATTACACATTATATGAGGCCTAATATTGTACATGTGTGTGCTATACTAGGAATATTAAAGTGTTTAGATTCGTTCTTTACTGACTATAAAGAGAATAGTACAGTTCTACTCTAATTGCTTAGAACAGTTGTTTAATTTATTCACCAAAGTATTTTTTTTTTACCTTTTTCTATTAGCAATAAAATTCAATATACCACAAGCCTAAAGTAACTTGGCATTGAAAATGCTTCAATTCCCATCATGTCTCCTGCTCAAATAACCAAAAAGTTGTTTGAATTTTACCAGTTTGATCCTTTTTGTTTCACACACTTCCACTGGCAGATATGGTCTCTAAAAATTTCTTTTAAAACTAGAAACAAAAAGGTATACTCATAACAATCTGCTATTTACTCATCACAACCATACTATCAACTGAATTTTCTGACATACCATGGACATTAATGCATACTTGTTATCCAATATTTTCCTCTATATTTGAAGGGGCCATCAAGTTTTTTAATTAAAATGTACCAAAAAAGTGACAATTTAAGACTATGCCTGGAGTATAGTACTGCCATGCAACTAATCCCTAGGGCAACAAGAACGCGCAAAGAATTTCAGTGTGTAATCTGACATGTTATCGAAACTACAGACAAGCTTCAGAATCAAACAAAATATGAAACCTATAAATACTTGAAAGTAGTACAGCCAGAGAAGATATGATCCCATGCAGAAAATAGGTAATGACAGTGTGCCAGATGAGAAGCAGATTTGAGAGAAAAAGGGAACAGACCGGAAGCAAATTAACCATAAGAATAAAGTGAACAAGTAGAAAATACCTTGAATGAGCTTTATTAAAATGTAGATGAACCAGCTTCAAAAAGTAAATACAACATCACTAATGAATAGAACACACATTAATAAGAGTGAAGAGACAAGTAAAAGAATTCTCCCGCTCGACCAGCACATGCAAGCAAGATGGTAACATTCGGAACACTTCACACTACTGTGGAGGTGGTGGTGGGGGGGGGGGGGGAGCTTTACACAAAATATTTGCCTACAATTTTTCTTATTAATAACCACATTTATCTTTTATGGAAAGATAAAAAAGGAAACCTAGAGGAAATGAATGAGAAAATACTCACAGCCACTGAACATTATTTTTGGATTTCTTATTGACTAGACCAATTCCCTCCAATACATTTGTAATATCATATATTCTTCTTTTCTGGACTGCTAGCGTATCTGAAGCCTGAAAACAAAATACAAATTAAAATTTGGAATAATATCAGCCGAGTAAAATAAGGCTGCCAGACATGTTGGAAATTTCCAACACCCAAATACCAACCCCGGGTGCAGTATTATAAATTTATTGTACTCGGGCATATAATTTACTAATAATACTAACTCGTACTGTAGCAATATTACATTTATTAAACCGAGGCGTAGAAGCACCAGATTCTTCCTAAAAATTATAGCAACAGTTGCGTCAGCTACCCAGCCAGGAAGAATAATTTCCACACATTCATGATTCCAATTAAATCCAGTCAAACATTGTATTATTTATTAAGGAATATAGATTATTAATAGATTCATTCTTAGTTAATGAATTATATAATTGGTTATGGGAATTAGATTTATACAGCTGCAATCAGCTGATCCAATAAACAAAATGAACTGAATTTCCATTATGAATATTTCTCGTCCCTCTATTGTCATTTAGATTAAAGGATTTGCATAGCGAGAAACGATCTGTTATATATAAAGCACATTATTATGACGTAAATTAACGTCGGTAATGTCCCCGTCCATTAGGAACCATGAATAAAATATCACAAATTAATTCTGAAGTTCCAATATTCGACGCTAGGTGTCGCATGAGTCACTAGCGAGGAGACGACAGAGATAGACACCATTACAATCTAGTGTCCTAGAGCTGATCCTCATTATCGACCAAATCGAGGAGTAACGAGCTTCGGATCGATTCGACAGCTTCCATAATATTATGGACACCGCGTCCAGCAAAAACGGAGTAACACATTCATACTAATTTGGCCATTTTTTTTGTTTATGTTGGTGCCTGTCGTTATACATCATGGAAATTTAATAACCCACGTGAGTAAATTTTACCCCCAATCCACTCAGATTACGTGAGTAAATGTATTAATATATACAGTACTCTGAAGTGGAAATTACATATGATTCCTCTTTCAGCGTGGAGCTAACTTCAAGAGACGTAATTCCCAGATGTCGCAAGAGATATCAACTGGCAGGATTAAACGGGTCATAGTTGCCGGACGCATTCTACGTTCAACTTTGGCAGCTAAACCGTTATCTGTTCCATATTGTAGTTAGAAATTTAATTAATGCTTTATTGATTTCTAATGAATTATTAACATGTTATTTCAATATTATAGATATACTAACATTATAGAATTTAATACCCACCCCCCCCCAAAAAAAAAAAAAGATGTGTAAGGGATTACCTCTAAATTTAATAGTTTTCCAGTCCACTTCTCTAAATTCATTTTAAATCTATTATTGAATTTATTCTTGAGAGCCATAGATCATGGGTTCTCCGAGCCCATACTAATTTTATGGTTCTCCAATCCTTTGAATCTTATTATGTTAGAGTGAATTCCCCCACAAGACAAGCAGAAAGTAAAATTTGAAGCTTGCATATTCCATGGAATTACTGCCGGCCGAATCTTAAGCAATGCAATGATTTACAATACCATGCACCAACATATGACAACTAACATTTACATTGTCATTTTGAAATTAGACACACAGGAATGTGGAAAATTTTAAGTGCTTGCTGATAAAATAAATAAAAACTTCACAATTGTTCAATCTGAAATCAAAACTTGTACAGCACCAGACAAGCATTTTATCAATGCCACTTCGAGCTATGTACATCATCTTGTCCCATGCAGCTGACAAAATGGTGTAATGTTCATGAATAAAGTTCTTTCAAAGCATAAACAATATTACCTTATTTAAATCGACTGTACCATCTGGAGCCGTCTGGAGCAGGTCAACAAAGCGCTTTGTGAGAAGTCCCAGCGATGTATCATAACGAGAAGTCTTACTGGGAGAAGGTGCTGGAGGAATTGCTGAAACAGAAATTCTCTGTCAATTTTACAATAATTTCAATCAGAATTCATTCATGGAATTCTGAGTCAATTAAAAAAAAAAAAAAAAAATCCGGGAAAGTTTTGTAGCACTAAAATTCACGTCTGCGTTAAGTACAGATATATTATGTACAGATATAAACCATTAAACTAAAGTGTATTGATGAAAAGTATTTTGCAGCCACATAAAAGTCTATGAATACACTTCAAACTCACCAGCACCAACTTTGGAGAATTTGCTGTTAAGGTTGACTTCACGGCAGGCTTTGTAGAACGTTTAAAGTACATGATTCGTTATCGAGTCCAACCATGAAAAAGAGAAAACCATCGATCATGCATTCCATTTTCCTCCATTTGTATTTTAATACTACAGTATACCCTTAGAAACTTAAATTTGATTAATTGGAGGATATTAAACCTAAGTAAGATCTTTACATTATGAAAGGAAAGTCACCAATTAAAGCTTTAGTTTGCTGCCAGTATGCCGACTAAAATCTTAGTTACTTTTCAAACTCAGGAGATTTCTGGCAATGGAGAAAGTAATAATTACTTTAATGAGAGTAAATTGAAAGAAAATATTTCACCGCAATACCAATTCTAGACATTCCTTGAGATAGCAGTTATATCACTTGCACAATTTAAGCAAACTTTCATGTCTGATTATAGTAACATTGCAGATTCCACCCCCGAAGTTCTAGGTTTAAAGCTTTATCAATACACACACACTAAAAGAAATACACAATTTATATATGGTGTTCCATAATATCGAAGGATTTTATTTCTGGTAAATACTATGCATACGAGAGCATCATTCAATAATCAATTAGCATAGCCATGACAAATCAAGATGAATTTCATTATTTCTGGCATTTGGACACCATTTGCTGACAGACAAAATATTGAGCTTTGGGTGGTGATAGACAGATTATCATTTACACACTAATGAGAAGAGTAATGCTACATTTGCAATAGCCTTCAGCAGGCATGTCAAATATGCAGCCCTTTGCAAGCACACCCGTGGCCCTGCACAAAACAATGTAATACTATATTATTATGTAATACAAAGGATACTATATTCTGCAATAATTTTTATTAAACGACTTCAATTAGTTGTCGTGTGTGGCCCTCATGACAACACAAATGTGACCCATATGGCCGCTCTCGGGGAACCCTCAGTTTGACATGCCTGGCCGACAGGACATATGTATGTACACAATATTGAGTTTGAATACTTTGAAGAGTTTCCCCAAGAATGATACAAAGTGGTCAGGTGTGAGTATTAGGATTAACTTGCCAGTATTAGGAAAACAAGACTTGGAGATGCCCTCAAATAGACTATAAAATATGAAATGCACAGGGGTAAATAATGAAACTTGTTATTGTAAGTTAGTTAAGAATCCAGTTTTATAGGAAAAGCCAGCAAAAATTAGGCTTTTAATAGTATATTTGGAATTATGATACAAGAACATTATTGGACTATTTGTTAGTATGATGGAATGAACGAGAACAGACAGATAGATATACATATACTCATACATACAGATGCATACATATATAGGTGAATCTGACTAAGAAAGCTGTTAGGTGAAGGTAATGTTAGTGATGCTAAAAGGAGACTGAATATTTACATACAAGAGTCTCTTGTACAAGGGACCCTTGTAGTAGTCAGGTTCATTCAAGACTTTCAATTTAGAATTCTGGGTTCAAATCCCAGGTGGGACAGAAATGGTTTGGTGTGCTTCCTCTCCCCTAACACCCATCCACCTAGCAATAAGTAAGTACCCAGGATGTCAGCTTATTGTGAGGTTTCATTCTGGGGAGGGTCAGTAATTCACCTCAAGATGTTGGGGGGCAGGGCCATATATATAAGCCAAACATTCACTTAATGTGTAAACAGGCTGCCCATCCCTTAAAATAAATTTTATTCATTTATTTATATACAGTATATACAAGAAATGGACATAAAATATGTAGAATAACAACAATTAATAAGCCAAATAAGAGCTTATCAATCTCAGTTGTTCTCCATTGCTGTACCAGACACGCGGCACCTGCAGGGCAATATTTGCCAGCACGTAATTTAGTCGTCTGGATAAAAAGCAACAACACCTTTCCTAAATATATAACATTTTCAAGAGTCCCTTGTATATTACTTTACATCTCTGTATTTATATTATATATTATAATATATCTTTATATTTATACACAATAAATGTAATACTAATGGGTTTATGAGAGTACATAGCATAGATGTTTTCACTTTCTTGTAAAGCCACTAACACGCATAGCGTTTTTGGGCAGGTCCTTTATCTAACAATTTTAAGTAGGTAATTTGGAGCAAAATTGAAAGGTACATTGTAAGAAAATTTGAAGAAAATTAGCAGGTACATTTTAGTAAAATGAGGATATTGACAGGTACAGTGTAGCATAATATGACGTACAATCTGAGGCGAGGTATTTCTAGGTACATTGGTGTAAAATTTTCATTCAACATAACCATGATACAAGATGATGGCAGTGATTACAACGGTGAAGTTGTATGGCTTAGGCACACATTTTGGGGTAGCAAATAATACAGTGCAAATGTGAAGCATTAGGTAGAAAACTATGAGAATGAAAGTTAGTACTTTTTGGCATTACTTTTGAAAAAGGGGAAGGTTGGACAGCTTTTTAATTATGTAAATTACTATACACTGAAAATTACAAATCACTGTAAATTATTATACAATGAAAGCATTTTATCAGGGAGACAAGAATGTGCAAAATTACAAAGCTAACACGACAGATCAACCTAACAAATGCAGCAATAATATTAAAGTAATACAAAAGTATAGAAAATCTATACATTTGGGAATACTAATTCAAAAGATTTAGGCAACATGCATACAATTAATTTATTTTTTCCAGGAGACAAATTACACAAAGAAAATCTACCTGGGGCTTTTCCCTTGGACGGTGAAGGAGTGTAGTGTGTGGACGAGACCGATTTTTGCCTTGCCCGTCTCGGGGTCTTGACTGGCGTTCTGAAGCCCTCCCCATCAACCCCACCTTCTTCCAGCACCAGCCGCCGCTTCACACTCTGAAAGACAGTGACATCACACACACATCAAGTTAAGTGTATAATTTGTATAATCAATGGGAAAGACATGCTAATAACGTATTACTAAATCATTAGCACACAACTACTCGAAAAAAAAAGCTGCACAAGACACTAATATACCCATCTATTTTAATTTGTTTAATTAAAGGATTAATTACTGGAAATTCCAGTTTTATATGGAGTATGTAATGTGCATAAAGTATGGTCTTGAGGAATAGTATTGCGGGATATTTTAGGTGCCAAATTTTTTACAATCTCTCATCGAGAGCTCATTCTTAAATCTTTCTTCACTACAGTACTAAGATGAGGAATTCCATCTTATGAAAAAAACTTAAAGAAAATTTCAAGCCAAACCCTTTAGGTGTAACTGTGCCCAGAAACTATGAAACATTCTAAAATGAGAAAAATACAATTGCCATAAAACCATAACCATGTAAACAAAAGCAAGCAACAAAATTGGTACATTGGTTATTCAACAATTGTTACTCCAACAGTAATTTAAAAAAAAATGCGTATGTAATGATTTCGGACAAGTTTGCTAGTGTCTCGAGGACAACTGGCTACAAGAACTGTATCCACAACAAGACGCCCCGTCATCACTACTACTGGGCAGGTTGAGGCTGGAGGCAGCTCCATATATGAAATTTTGATTACATTTGAGGACAATCATGCCACGTCTGAAAAATTTGTTTGATTTGTGTGAAACGAAGCCAAGGAAAAAAAAAAGTTGAAAAACCTATTCATGTTTTTGTTAGAAAGTGACCTAATGTGAGGTACTGATCTAACTCAAAAGTGAGATTGGATAATTATGCAAAATCAGGTACCCTCTCCACTACCCCAAGTAAAGCCATTTAAAGAATTTACTATAAAGGGACTGAACCTTAAAAGTGTGTAAGTAGCAGAGATTTATAAAATACAAAAAATAATCACTGCCTTTGGTAAGCTGTAATTAGCATCAGTGCCACCAACTCAACATTAAACCATTGGAGCAGTGAATAAATGGCTGGAGTAAATATGAGCATTCAATGGTTGTGACATACACTGTATGATGTTCTTTGACAAACCAGAACCTTTAAGTTACGTACCTGGTACATAGAATTAGAACAAGAAGAATGGAAAGAAAGGAATAAGAAGGAAGAGGATATACCAAATTAAACATACAAGTAAATGGGATGGAGAGATATATGATAGATTAGATAGATAGATAGATACAGCTTCCCCCCCCCCATCCCAACCTAAAAAAAAAAGAAAAAAAAATGCCTATACGGGGCTTCTTTATTATCTTGAGATGATTTCGGGGCTTAGCATCCCTGTGGCCTAGTCCTCGACCAAGCCTCCTTTTTGTTACATATCCCAGGAAGCAGCCCATAGCAGCTGTAACTCCCAGGTACCTATCTATACTGCTAGGTGAACAGATGCGCCAGGGTGAAAGAAACTGCCCATTTGTTTCCGCTTCTGCTGAGGATCGGAGGACCATTTTAATATGTTTAGACCATGATGGTCTAAAAATATAAAATTTGATTTCCAGCCACCAAATGAAACAAGTGACAACCAAAACTTAAGTCGCATCTAATTTCATTTTGTATTCACCTTTTGTATTCAGCAGAGCTTAACCCCTGCAAGCACCCCTGTGCTTGCAGGGGTTAAGCTCTGCTCTTTTGGCCCGCCTTTGAACTGTCAATTGTTACTAACTACCACTAATTTTATAAAACACACACCCAAGAAGCAGCCCGTAACAGCTGTCTAACTCCCAGATATTTATTATTTACTGCTAGATAATAAGGGCATCAGGGTGAAAGAAACTGCCCATTTCTGTTTACACCGGCACCGGGAATCGAACCCAGGACCACAAGATTATGTATCCAGCGTGTTGTCCACTCAGCCACCAGCGCCCCTACTCGGGGTGCTGGTGGCTTAATTGTCAATTGTGTGTGGGTAAGTTGGTTTTTTCCGGCCCTTTTATATCTGCAAAATAACTGTTCCTTACTCTCTGAGGTCTGGCTGGAGACTAGGCCACAAGACCATATTTACCAAAACCTTCGCAAGGTAGGTAGGTAATCTAGACATTCTTTCCAGGCAAGTATCTCTACTAGAATAATACAACAAATAAAACCCAACGGAAAATCACCTGTGTACGTCCTGGTGTGACGGTAGGAGATTCTTGAGAGTTGCTGGGTGTGATGGGGGTCAGGCCATAGCCATGATCCAGCAGTTGCGTGTAGGTCATGCCATCACACACACTGAGGACTGTCCCACCCACCACCGACAACCCCCCGGAGGAAGGCGTCCCCACACTCTCCATCACTTATTGCACCTGCAAAGCACTTTTGCTTCAAAAGTCAATTCAAATGAACATGTATAATAAAGATAATTGTTTTATGAAGTCCATAAATACAATTAAACTACCAGGTTTAAAGTTACATTTTTAAAATTACGTCATAAAAGCTGCTACAAATCTACGGCAATTATGTTAATAGGATAAAAAACTAATATTAACAAATCTATGAAAGAATAAAACCGATGCATGTAGAGGGCTCCATGAACGAGTGAGCTCCCTTCTGAAGGAGTGCAAAATAGTGTGTGGTAGGAGTGCAGAAAAATAAAACTACAGTAGCTGTTGAAATTAACAACCCAATACACATTCAGAACTAGAAGAAAACATTTAAAAATACAAATGCCCCAGAATGATGTGCAGTACAAGCCATGATATATTTTGAGACTGAGGAGTTCATTAAGACGGTTTATGAGAATTCTGGTTAATTTGATGGTATGAAAAGTGGAAAGCCATGATAATGAACAGACATGACAAGTGAATGAGGAAGCAGGGATCACATTTGAACTGTACAGAAGAATTGCTAAGGAACAAGAACAGTTTCAATTACATAGAACAAATGTTTGGCATTTTTTAAGTAGCATCACAGGTTGTATTATTTAAGACGTTAAATGGTGAGGGTGGCAGACTGGTAACTGGCAGAGGATAGCATTGGCACTATTATGGCTTACAATATGAAAAAATAATGGAGTTAAATAGTACGAGCAGTGGATACTAGTGAGAAAAACTTAAAGCTATTTATATATGAGAAGCTGAATGATGCCGTTTGTGTAAATTCCATGGTATCATTTGGATGAGTACCTATTGGGGGCCCATAAATTAAATCAGTTACTGGCACATGTCATGGGCATTGACTATTTACCTTTGTCTACCTGTTGGTTCCGGGGGCTCAATGTCCCTACAGCCCAGTCCCTGGCCAGGCCGTCTGGTCAACCCAGTATTTATCAAGTTTTCGAATGCCATGAGAGGCCACTAGTAATGTCCCTTATGTATAGAGGAAAAGTTATCAAGTCTTGGGGCCCCTTTGTGTGTTGATTTAATTTCATAAGTGTGCCTATTAAAACTACGCTTTTCAATGGGGACTTGCACTTCCTGCCATGCCTCCTGGTCTTACGTAGAGTTATTTCCGTGTGCAGATTTGGAACCAGTCCCTCAAATATTTTCCAATTTTTAAATTATTCTTTCCTGCACTCTAGAATGCAGATTTAAAAGTTAAGCTGTCTCAATGATTTAGATGTTTTATTGAATGGATTTAGGCAGTAAAAGACCTCTACATATTCTCCAGGGCAGCAATTTCTCCAGCATTGAGTGGAGCACTTAGTGTGCAGCAATATTCCACCCTAAACACTACTACAGTTTTAAGAAGTGTCATTGGTTTGACTCTTGCTTAAACGGCTCTTGCTAAACACCTTGCCACTTTTCTTTTTGTGACGCTGCTTTATTGTATTCTTTAAAAACAAGATCTTATGGCATGATTACTCCCAAGTATTTTATACGGCTTTTTGTTTCCAGTAGCCTTACCATAGGCTTGTACTCCAACCATTGCAGGTGGCCAAGACACTTGCTAACAAATTTGCAGAAAGAGCAGTCATATGAACTTCTTGTAATGGTCAAAAGCCAGCAATCACAATTAAAACATTAACAGCCATTCACAAGAGCATAGCCACATATGACAAGTGTTACTGTCCCTTTAAAAATGGTGAATCAGAGGGGGGGGGGGGGGGGGGAATTACACCAGGCACTGATAAAATTACATAAAATTGCAGGTCCTGCTGGAGAATAAGGGATATTGGATGTTATCAATGCATCTTGGGAACTAGTAAACTATCTACCTCTTAAAAAAGCAGATAATTCAGATTCATAAGCCAAAGGAACCTGACAATTACAGACCCATTTCACTATCATGCATCTTGAGGTTATCTTGAGATGATTTCGGGGCTTTAGTGTCCCCGCGGCCCGGTCCTCGACCAGGCCTCCACCCCCAGGAAGCAGCCCGTGACAGCTGACCAACACCCAGGTACCTAATTTACTGCTAGGTAACAGGGGCATAGGGTGAAAGAAACTCTGCCCATTGTTTCTCGCCGGCGCCTGGGATCGAACCCAGGACCACAGGATCACAAGTCCCGCGTGCTGTCCGCTCGGCCGACCGACTCCCAAAACTGCATTAGTAAAACTGCTAAAAGATGGTCATAAATAGGCTACTGTGGAAGACTGGAGACCTGCATAACCAAAATTTTGGCTTCACCAGAGCTGGAGGTACTGCTAACTGTATAGCAAAATTACTAAAAGTAACTGTATTGTGACCTCATGACTTTGGTTCTGCCCCAAAATGAGTTATTCCTAACTCAGTCCTACACAGGATCAAGGTAAAGGTTTTAGTATAGTTTGCAGAGTAAACCACTGTTGGGTGATACAGAAGAGGCATTGTGGAGGCATTAAGGTGTCACTGAGCAACTTCGGAGGAACAGGCGTGGAGGGCGAATCCGAAGCGAAGGACGACAGTACGTGGGGATTTCTCAAGGAAGAAAAACTATTTCATCACTAGCAAATGAAGAACGAGCAAGGGAGTAATGTGTCATGTGCAAAGGGTTTGTGATGTCACTTGAGGTTATCTTGAGACAATTTTGAAACTTAGCATCCCCGCGTCCAGGTCCTCAACCAAGCCTCCTTTTTGTCCCCCCCCCCTTCCCCACCAGGAAGCAGCCTGTAGCAGCTGTCTAACTCTCAGGTACCTATTTACTGCTAGGCGAACAAGGGCATCAGAGTGAAAGAAACTCCTCATTTGTTTCCGCTTCCACCGGGGATCGAAACCGGAACATCAGGACTATGAATCCGAAGCGCTACCCACTCAGCTGTCAGGTCATACTTGTCTGTGTGGGGTCAGGGAGAGTGAACAATTCACTGCTGCTTAGGAGAGTACATTTCTAGTGTATTGTTGAAAAAACAGGAGTGAACTGTGACCGAGTCAAGTGCTGTAAGCAAGAAGAGGATGACTGTGGCATTCGTCCTGACTTGTGGAACCTGAAGGGCGGTCTGAAGCCAAGGGATGGTTACTGTGGTAACCATCCCCAAGGGATGGGTACTGTTACTGTGGTTAATTACTGTGGTAATTACCCAAGTGTAGTTACAGAATGGGAGTTATGTTCATGGTGTTCTGTCTTCCCAGCACTGTCATATAATACTTTGAAACTATAGACAGTTTTAGCCTCCACCTCCTGGATGTAAGAGGAAGGCTAGTTGTCGTAGGTGAGGACCTGTTGACAGGTGAGCCAGGTGGTGCCTGTGTCTGGACACCTACACTCAAGTCAGGACAAGTCCTCGACAACAACGGTTGAATTAAGAATTTTTGGAATTTTTTACCTGGGAGATGTAAACTCTAGGTGCCATCTTGACTGGAATTAAGCATCATCGCTCCAGTATATCCTGGAGTCACGGGGACTCCTTTTAGCAGTCCCCGTGGTGCAGTGCTAAAACACTCGCCTTAAGATTCCCCAAAGTGGAATACTTGACCCTCCCAAGGATGCAACCCCCACATCAGTTGATGAACTCCTAAGTAACTATTTACTTATAGGTGAACAGTTGCATTAAATAAGAAATATGCCAAACAATTTCTATACAGTACAGCCTAGGATTCAAACTCGAGATTCCCGATCAAGAGTCGAGAACAAACCAAACTGTACTACAGACCCCCTCAATTTTACAGATGCTTCCCATTCAAGACTTTGAACATGCTCTTGCTGAACACACACATTATACATATGGATTCAAGAACTGGCATAGCAACCTTGTAACAAGAACACGTGTGCAACATTCATCTGACTTCAAATGTTAAAGCATTAATACAGACCACACATGTTGAGAGTATTAATACACTCAAATGCCATGGTCATTGAATGCTTTATCAACTGAGTGCCAAGTCATGTAGGAATACCAGGGGAAATGACATTGCAAATGAAGCTGCAAAGCTTACAAGAGGGGAAATGTAGACACTATTATACCAGTCCAATGTAGTAAAATAACAGTACAATGCAAAGATCATCATACACTGATCATTATGCTGTTGCTGCAACATAAGGATCTGCAGGAGGGTACAAAAATTCAACCTACTAGGAACCACTTCTGAGCAAAGGGTACAACAGAAAAACAAATGCAATTATTTTTCAATATGGGTGACAATACCACAAACAGCAATGATGACTGTCTAAGGTTCAAATATCAGCGAGTTTGATGGAGTGCACGACAGCCGCAGTTTGGTACATCTACACACTGATGTCTTTTTAGAAAATGAACATGTGAAAAATTATTTTTCACATTCTTTTGTATTCATATTCAGGGTTTAGTGACCTTGATTCTGATAATAGCAATGTTTTGATGGTATTGGCAATGGACATAGTATATCAGGTGGCACTGCTTCATCACGTGCCATCAATAACTGTGAAAGCATTTGGCCCATTGTAAAGATCCATCATCCTACTTTGCCAATGAATCCTTTTGAGCACAGTATGCAGTAACACTATGGTCAGACTTTTCAAAAGCTTTTCAGAAAATGTGTGTCAGCATTTTGTGTCTTCCATGGCAGTTATGGCCATAACATAGTGATCTAGCAATTGTGAGAGGAAGGAGCACCCTGTTTTAAACCAGTGTTGTTCACGATTAGTACACACTGGTTCCACATGTTTTGTGATCTTGCTTCTCAGCACTCTTAAAAGAATTTTACGTGTGATGTTTGTGCTATGGGTCTATAATTTTGGCTTGCCTAGAGCATACCTGGAGAGGGTTTCGGGAGGAGTTCTACTCGCTGAGCTTAGCCTGAGGCCAGACTCGACTTGTGATACTTTGGTCCAACAGGCTGTTGTCTGGAGGGCTATTTTATTTCCTCCTTTATGGAATGTTGCTATCGCTGCTATTTTAAGTGCATTAGGGATAAAACCAGTATTTAGGCTTCATTTCCAAATAAAGTTAAAGCCAGGTGACGGATTTTT